ATGTACTGCAACATACCAGAATGTCCTATGTACTGCAACACACTAGAATGTCCTATGTACTGCAACACACTAGAATGTCCTATGTACTGCAACATACTAGAATGTCCTATGTACTGCAAGAGACCAGAATGTCCTATGTACTGCAACAGACTAGAATGTCCTATGTACTGCAACAGACTAGAATGTTCTATGTACTGCAACATACCAGAATCTTCTATGTACTGCAACAGACCAGAATGTCCTATGTACTGCAACAGACTAGAATGTTCTATGTACTGCAACAGACCAGAATGTCCTATGTACTGCAACAGACTAGAATGTCATATGTACTGCAACAGACTAGAATGTTCTATGTACTGCAACAGACTAGAATGTTCTATGTACTGCAACACACTAGAATGTCCTATGTACTGCAACATACTAGAATGTCATATGTACTGCAACAGACTAGAATGTCCTATGTACTGCAACATACCAGAATGTCCTATGTACTGCAACACACTAGAATGTCCTATGTACTGCAACATACTAGAATGTCATATGTACTGCAACATACTAGAATGTCCTATGTACTGCAAGAGACCAGAATGTCCTATGTACTGCAACAGACTAGAATGTTCTATGTACTGCAACAGACCAGAATGTCCTATGTACTGCAACAGACCAGAATGTCCTATGTACTGCAACAGACTAGAATGTTCTATGTACTGCAACAGACCAGAATGTCCTATGTACTGCAACAGACTAGAATGTCATATGTACTGCAACAGACTAGAATGTTCTATGTACTGCAACACACTAGAATGTCCTATGTACTGCAACATACTAGAATGTCATATGTACTGCAACAGACTAGAATGTCCTATGTACTGCAACAGACTAGAATGTCCTATGTACTGCAACACACTAGAATGTCCTATGTACTGCAACACACTAGAATGTTCTATGTACTGCAACATACCAGAATCTCCTATGTACTGCAACAGACTAGAATGTTCTATGTACTGCAACAGACCAGAATGTTCTATGTACTGCAACAGACTAGAATGTCATATGTACTGCAACAGACTAGAATGTCCTATGTACTGCAACATACCAGAATGTCCTATGTACTGCAACACACTAGAATGTTCTATGTACTGCAACATACCAGAATCTCCTATGTACTGCAACAGACTAGAATGTTCTATGTACTGCAACAGACCAGAATGTCCTATGTACTGCAACAGACTAGAATGTCATATGTACTGCAACAGACTAGAATGTTCTATGTACTGCAACACACTAGAATGTCCTATGTACTGCAACATACTAGAATGTCATATGTACTGCAACAGACTAGAATGTCCTATGTACTGCAACATACTAGAATGTCCTATGTACTGCAACAGACTGGAATGTTATATGTACTGCAACATACCAGAATGTCCTATGTACTGCAACAGACCAGAATGTCCTATGTACTGCAACAGACTAGAATGTTCTATGTACTGCAACAGACCAGAATGTCCTATGTACTGCAACATACTAGAATGTCATATGTACTGCAACAGACTAGAATGTCCTATGTACTGCAACATATCAGAATGTCCTATGTACTGCAACACACTAGAATGTCCTATGTACTGCAACATACTAGAATGCCCTATGTACTGCAAGAGACCAGAATGTCCTATGTACTGCAACATACTAGAATGTCCTATGTACTGCAACAGACTAGAATGTCATATGTACTGCAACAGACTAGAATGTAATATGTACTGCGACAGACTAGAATGTCCTATGTACTGCAACATACTAGAATGTCATATGTACTGCAACAGACTAGAATGTCATATGTACTGCAACAGACTAGAATGTCCTATGTACTGCAACAGACTAGAATGTCATATGTACTGCAATAGACTAGAATGTCATATGTACTGCAACATACTAGAATGCCCTATGTACTGCAAGAGACCAGAATGTCCTATGTACTGCAACATACTAGAATGTCCTATGTACTGCAACAGACTAGAATGTCATATGTACTGCAACAGACTAGAATGTAATATGTACTGCAACAGACTAGAATGTCATATGTACTGCAACAGACTAGAATGTCATATGTACTGCAACAGACTAGAATGTCATATGTACTGCAACAGACTAGAATGTCCTATGTACTGCAACATACCAGAATGTCATATGTACTGCAACAGACCAGAATGTCCTATGTACTGCAACAGACCAGAATGTCCTATGTACTGCAACAGACCAGAATGTCCTATGTACTGCAACAGACTAGAATGTCATATGTACTGCAACAGACTAGAATGTCATATGTACTGCAACATACTAGAATGCCCTATGTACTGCAAGATACCAGAATGTCCTATGTACTGCAACATACTAGAATGTCCTATGTACTGCAACAGACTAGAATGTCCTATGTACTGCAACAGACTAGAATGTCCTATGTACTGCAACAGACTAGAATGTCATATGTACTGCAACAGACTAGAATGTCATATGTACTGCAACAGACTAGAATGTCCTATGTACTGCAACATACCAGAATGTCCTATGTACTGCAACAGACTAAAATGTCCTATGTACTGCAACAGACCAGAATGTCCTATGTACTGCAACACACTAGAATGTCCTATGTACTGCAACACACCAGAATGTCATATGTACTGCAACAGACCAGAATGTCATATGTACTGCAACAGACCAGAATGTCCTATGTACTGCAACAGACTAGAATGTCCTATGTACTGCAACAGACCAGAATGTCCTATGCCTTTGTGAGTAAAGGGGCAAACTCCATGGCCAACTGGTGACAGGCAGAATGTTCCTGTTTCCTCTTTGATTGGGAACGTGTAGAAGAACCTTGCACTAATCTCTCGCCTACTCTCTCAATCAATCAATCAATCAATCAATCAATCAATCAATCATATTTTGGGTTGTGGGTTCGTTTCCCACGGGGGGCCAGTATGAAAAATGTATGCACTCACTAACTGTAAGTCACTCTGGATAAGAGCGTCTGCTAAATGACTAAAAATGTTTTAAAAAATCTCACAGATACCAAAACCCCAAACATCAAGCAATGCAGAGGCAAAGACTCCCCTATCACTCCCTTGAGATTGATGTTGATGATGCTGCAAAGACCATAAGACACCTCATGCCGCTCCAAGTCAGTAAACTTGTCAGAGAAACCAAGCACATAGAACACAATACATCAACACCACCATCAAAGATTTCTAGTTGGTCAATGTACACTGGCAGGTTAGAAAATACGAGGCGTTACTTCGACCTTGACTGACCTTTTGTTACTGCTGTTATAAAACACTATGACAGACTGACCAGGTGTATCCAGGTGAAAGCTACGATGCCTTATTGATGTCACCTGTTAAATCCACTTCAAATCAGTGTAGATGAAGGGGAGGAGACGGGTTAAAGAAGGATTTTTAAAGCCTTGAGACAATTGAAGCTATGACACCTTCCTAATATTGATTTGTCTGAATTCATCGGGGCATGGACTCTCCAAGGTGTTGATAGCGTTCCACAGGGTTGCTGGCCCATGCTGACTCCAATGCTTCCCACAGTTGTGTCAAGTTGGCTGGATGTCCTTTGGGTGGTGGACCATTGTTGATACACACGGGAAACTGTTGAACGTGAAAAATCCAGCAGCGTTGCAGTTCTTGACACAAACCGGTGCGCCTGGCACCTACTACCATACCCCGTTCAAAGACACTTAAATCTTTTGTCTTGCCCATTCACCCTCTGAATGGCACACATACACAATCCATGTTTCAATTGTCTCAAGGCTTTAAAAATCCTTCTTTAACCTGTCTCCTCCCCTTCATCTACACTGATTGGAGTGGATTTAACAGGTGACATCAATAAGGGATCATAGCTTTCACCTGGATACACCTGGTAAGTCTGTCCTAGTGTTTTATAACAGCAGTAACAAAAGGTCAATCAAGGTCGAAGTAAAGCCTCATTTGATGTGAATATTTTCTAACCTACCAGTGTACGTTGAAAAACTATAAATCTATGCGCTCACCCTTTTCTTCTTGGGCTTCACCTTTGTAACGGTTCCCACTGTGTGCAGCTGCAAAGCCTTTAACTGGCTTTGTTGGAATAATGACACACTTTTTTTCTTTTCAAACAGTGATTTATAAGGCTTGTGTGTGATTTATCAGAAGAACACCTATTACCATTGGAACCACCTGTTGGATGTCCGTCTAGAATGGAGGGAGGGAGGTTGTGTGTGTGTGTGTGCGTCTGTGTCTGTGTGTGTGTCTGTGTGTCTGTGTGGATCTGTCTCACCTTCGAGGGTATTTGGGGGCAGTATGGTTGACAAATAACGTTCCTAATTCGTCATCCGCATTGATGACATGAGGTCATCATGTAACAGATTGGTTATGTCTGTCGGCGCTAGACCGATACTTTTCACCGACGTATCATATCCGCAAAGTTATGTTTAATTACGGCTATAAAAAATAAAATAAAAACTATTGTCCAACTTTTTGAGATGCTGAACTGTTAAAGGAACTTTTGTTGGGTGGTCAACTTCTATTGAAAATAATTTCGATACAGTATTAATTAATTAAACATATTGACTGTGTTTGTGTAGACCTCTACTTGTTTATTAGATGTTTGTCTAAACAATTACATCATTCATTTCTTATCGTTGAGTAAAAAACAATCACTGCACAGCGTATAAAACAGGTCATGTAAAAATATGGGCTTTCATCATTAACGTTCAAAAACATTGTGCGCGTGGAGTTGTGGGCTGACTCATTACATCACTGTGAGCCATAAAAAAAAAAGCTCATTGAGACTCACCAGTGTAGAAGACTGTGGGACAGACAGAGAGATACAGACAGACCCCTGACTTCAACACGGAGAGACTCACTCACTAATTTCCCCCCCCCACCCACTTTCAACAGCTGAGTTCTACTGGACTGGACTCTCTCTCTTCTCTGGATACCTTTTACTCTTCACAGCAAATGGAGATTTGTGCCAAAGATATGAAGAAACCAAGATCAGTGTTCAGCAACATAAAGGTACGTTGTTATTATTCATTTGTTTTATTAGGGAGATTCATGCATATCACCGTAGTATGATTAGGATGTACATTTTATTGGTTGTTGTGGATTTGAAGAGAGAAAAATTTGCCTAAACAAACATATCCAAACAATTTCTTTAAGAGATTTTTTTCCCAGTGCACACCTCTGATTTGAATTGTAATGGCCACCTTTAGTCCATGCTGTCACACACAGGAAGTATTTAGAATAACCCTCCCTCGTTTTTACATAGAAATGATATAATTAAGCAATAAGGAACCTCTGGGATTTGTGGTATATGGCCAATATACCACGGCTAATGGCTGTTCTTACGCACGACATAACGTGGACTGCCTGGATACAGCCCTTAGCCGTGATATATTGGCCATATACCACAAACTCCTGAGGTGCCTTGTTGCTATTATAAACTGGTTACCAACATAATTAGAGTAGTAAATAGTAATTTTTATCATACCCATGGTATAAGGTCTGATATACCACGGCTTTCAGCCAATCAGCATTCAGGGCTCGAACCACCTGGTTTATAATGGTATTTGATGTCTTCTCTTGCTTGATCATATGACATATGCGATTATCCTAGAAGCCAGGTTTGTGTGTCGACCATTTACACTGATGATGGCTTGAGTCCAACATTTTTGTTTTGTTTTATTGTTTATTTCTTACAAACATTTTGGAGTCTCAAGTCACAGTGGTGGAAAAAGTACCCAAATCTCATACTTGAGTAAAAGTAAAGATACCTTAATAGAAAATGACTCAAGTAAAAGTGAAAGTCACCCAGTAAAATACTACTTCAGTAAAAGTCTAAAAATATTGGGTTTTAAATATACTTAAGTATCAAAAGTAAAAGTATAAATCATTTCACATTCCTTATATTAAGCAAACAAGATGGCACGTTTTTTTTGTTTTTTAATTTACGGATAGCCAGGGGCACACTCCAACACTCAGACATCATTTACAAATGAAGCGTGTGTTGTTTAGTGAATCTGCCAGATCAGAGGCCGTAGGGATGACCAGGAATGTTCTCTTGATAAGTGTGTAAATTGGACCATTTCCTGTCCTGCTAAGCATTCGAAATGTAACAACTACTTTTGGGTGTCACGGAAAATGTATGGAGTAAAAAGCATATTATTTGCTTTAGGAATGTAGTACATTAAATGTAAAAGTTGTCAAAAATATAAATAGTAAAGTACAGATACCCCAAAAAAAACTACTTAAGTAGTACTTTAAAGTACATTTTACTTAAGTACTCTACACCACTGTCAAGCCATCAGTGTAAATGGTCGGCACACAAACCTGGCATCAATTTGTTGTTTTTTTACCCCCTTTTTCGTGGTATCCAATTGGTAGTTACAGTCTTGTCCCATCGCTGCAACTCCCGTACGGACACGGGAGAGGCGAAGGTCGAACCAAGCCGCAATGCTTCTTGACACATTGACACCGCTTAAACCGTACACCTGGCGACCGAGTCAGCGTGCACTGCGCCCGACCCACCACAGGAGTCACTAGTGAGCGATGGGACAAGAACATCCCTGCCGGCCAAACCCTGGACGACCCCATGGGTCTCCCGGTCACGGCCGGGGTCTCTAGTGGCACAGCTAGCACTGCGATGCAGCGCCTTAGACCACTGCACCCCTCGGGAGTACCCTGGCTTCTATTTCAAGGACAATTGTATATGTCATGTCACATGATCAAGCAAGAAAATACATCAAATACCTATCATTTCTATGTTAAAAAAAGCAGGTCATAACTACTTTATTAAAATACTAATGATATAATCTAGATTTATGTTGGCTAGTGCTACCCCGGTACACACTGGCTTGATCAACATTGCTTCCACGTCATTTCAATGAAATGTACGTTGAACCAACTTGGAATAGACGCCGAATTGACGTCTGTGCCCCGTGTGTGGATTGTTCAGAATTTATGCTGCCTGGGGCAGAATATTGCTTCAGTACCTGGCAACAACTATTCCTGGAATGCCTTGTCTCTGTGTCTGGTCTGTTTGACATAAATGTGGGTCATTACCCAACCAAGCCTGTGTGTGAGTTCTCTTGTGTTTGTCCAACTATGTTTGTGGTTATCTACGATCTACGACGTGCGTGCGGTCGCTATCTGTGACCACTAAATTGTGTTCTCTACAGTGTTAATGACTGATGTCCCAACGTCTGCTCTGACTTAACATTGAGTCTGTGTCACAAATGGCACCCTATTCCTTATATAATGCGCGACTTTTGACCAGGGTTACATACTGTAGTGCACTTCTTTTGAGCAGAGCCCAATGGGCACAAATGGAACCCTATTCCCTACATAGTGCACTAATTTTGACCATAGCCTTAGTCAAAAGTAGTGTACTATATATATATATATATATATATATATATATATTGGGAATAGGGTGCCATTTGGGTTGCAGACTGTCACAGGGGTGATCTATGATTTTGCTGTGATAAATGTACTACCTCGTTTTTTAGTGCATAATAACATGAATCTCCAAATATTATGGACTAGGCTCACCAGGCTATTAGCTCTATAACTTGTTGAACATTCAGTCCCTTCCCTCTGGTGATATATCAAACATGGAATGCGTAACAGGTGGAATGTCTTTTTTGGCACACTCTAAGCCCGTTATAGATAGAAATGCTATTTTTCTGAGCCAGACACTTTTACTGAACGTCTCAAGAGTTCATTAGAGTTCCTACGTAGCCAGTCACTGAAAACTAAAATGAAGTGAGTGTTCTCCTTTTGTACAGCCATAAATACAGTTAGTCATTCTGAAATGAGGTATTGCCAAACCCGCAGTAGACTGTTGTAGTAAGACCTTATTTCAGAGAACAAGAAATGGCTCCATGACTCATTTGAGTTTGCAATATTAGCAAATAGTGTACAAATCATTAGGAGCATCTCCTGTTTCCATGACAATAGACTGACCTGGTGAATCCAGGTGGAAGCTACGATCCCTTATTGATGTCACATTTTAAATCCACTTCAACCAGTGTAGATGAAGGGGGGAGGAGACGGGTTAAAGAAGGATTTTTAAGACTTGAGACAATTGACACATGGATTGTGTATGTGTGCCATTCAGAGGGTGAACGGACAAGACAAAATATTTAAGTGCCTTTGAACGGAGTATGGTAGTAGGGACCAGGCACACCTGTTTGTATCAAGAACTGCAACGCTGCTGGGTATTTCACGCTCAACAGTTTCCTGTGTGTATCAACAATGGTCCACCACCCGAAGGACATCCAGCAATCAGCAGGCCAGTGGTCGAAAACGGGTAATTGATGAAAGAGGACAAAGGGAGGCTGACACAAATTGTGCAGAGCAACAGACGGGCTGCAGTTAGTCGACTGACAGTCCAGTGCAACACTGGTGCTCAAAGAATGCACAAGTCGTCGTACCTTGACACAAATGGGATGTGGCAGCCAACGACCTTAGAATTCCGCTTCTTTCATCAAAAAAAACAAGAAACTGCGGTTGCAGAGGGCTAAGGAATGAAAACATTGGACAATGGAGAATTGGAAAAACATTGCCTGGTCTGATGAATCCCGGTCCCTGCTGTTTCATGCTGATGGGAGGACTAGGGTATGGAGAAAACCACATGAGGACATGCATCCATCATTCTGCGTGGCAACATTGCAGGCTGGTGGTGTGATGTGGGCGGCAGGTAGCTTAGTGGGTAAGAGCGTTGTGCCAGTAACCGAAAGGTCGCTGGTTCTAATCCCCGAGCCGACTAGGTGAAAAATCTGTCGATGTGCCCTTGAGCAAGGCACTTAACCCTAATTGCTCCTGTAAGTCGCTCTGGATAAGAGCGTCTGCTAAATGACTACAAAAAAAAAAAAAAAAAAAAAAGTGTTTTCAATACATTGGGCCCCTTGAGAAAAGTGGAGCGATATTTGAATGTCACAGGATATCTAAACATCATTGCCAATCAGATCCACCCCTTCATGGCAGCAGTGTATCCATCTGCAAAATGATTTTTTTTTTCTCAGCAGGATAATGCCCCATGCTACAAGGCTAGGATTGTCCTGGAATGGTTTCAGCTTGCTGCAGTGGCCTGCCCAGAAATAATGCCCTACATAAATATACTGAATGACTGAGGTCAATACAACACCATGGATATTTCTGTCAAATTATATAATTTATCATCAGAGCTGTTCTTCAGAGCCAGTATTGGCAGCTTTCACAGTACAACTTGTCATTGTGTACGTGTTGTAATAATGTAACTGACCCTCTGATGCTTTGTGTCTGAGATGTGATACAGAGAAGAGTCGGTAGGGAGAAGGAATGTCAGACTCTGTCCAACACGGGAATTCAGCCTAGCGTCCAAATCCCACTGTGAGCCTGAGCGTTTCAGTGTTCTCGCAGGGAACAAAGGTAGGACTGCGGTAGGTCCCCTTTTTCAGATACAGATTAGTTATGTGGATTGGCGTCTATTGCAAATCCTGAACCCTATGGCACACGTTATATCACAACACACAGACACACACCCAAACCAGGTGGTCCAGCTCAAACCCCAGGTGTTTACAGCAGGAAGGTGTCCTCGTGCGTCATGTCGATATGTAACGAAACGTAGTAGTGTACAGTAGAAAAAGGTTAGGTCTGATTTACTGTTCATGTGCTGGCAGCCTTCCACTTCCGAGTGTCTTACACATGCTTAATTGAAGGCCATAAAAATCACAGATGAACACAAACACTGACCCACCATTTACTGCATCCTGTTAATCTACCTCCTCATAAACAGTGATGGGGTAAGATCCATACAACTGGTTTATGGTCAGTAGTGTAAACCGAAAATCTGTGTTCTTTTCAGAATATTTCAGATAGTGTCTCCCTGTTTTGCTACTTTTCTAAATGTTTTCTCCATGCTGAACATGGCCCTCTTCTCAGATGTGAAAGCACATTAGCTCAGGGTTAATATATGTCAGCATAAAAAAAAACGGTTTCCCAGAAGCTAGGGGGCAGGGGTGCAAAGAGATTAAACAATCTGAGAAAAACATCCATCTTTATAGGAAAGGGAGTCGTTTTTTGTTTTAATGTGTGTTAGAAACCCCACAATGTTTATTATGTAGAAATATGTTTAATGGTCAAACTGCCAGAATGCCTAAGCACCCCTGCGTGTGACCACAACTATTTTAATTTGTAAAAAAATATGATAAGGAAGGAATGTTAATCCATCACAAAAAAAAGTTAGTTAGTGCTAAATCTTATGACGCCTCTGTGAGAAAATCAAACATTTGGCTACCTTACTTAGAATTGCAAACTTTAAGGAGTAGGGCCATCAACTAGACCCACGGAACAGAATTACAAATAATTTGTAGACGGCAAACTGACTGTAAGAAGCCCAAACAGATATAATGTTTGAATAAAACATAATCACTTCAAACCTTGTTTACGATCACGCCTCTATATAATGCGTGGGAGTAGGCCTAGTTGGGAACAGATTTCTTAAATTAAAATCACGCGGAGCTGATTTCCTTGTGTTTATGTCCAACAATGAACTTCTTTTTTTTTATTACAAGTTCAACTTCTTTTTTTTTGGCACAGAAAATTTGGGGGGCCAAATAAAACCACCTGCGGGCCGCCAGTGGGGGAACCGCGGAGTAGGGCGTTCAGGGAGTTGGTCTGATGGGAATCTGTGATGTCATCAGCCCCCCCCCCTTTGCTTGAGGAGAAGTAGAGGAACGGCCCACTTGTGATGTCATGACATAGCTGGACCACCTATTGAGATGTTCCCTTTTGTTAGCCCTTTACACTGGTGACCACTGGCCTATATGGATAGGGCTACATTGAAATGTTTCTTACATAATTAAATATGAAAAGCATAATCATGGTAGCAATTAAAAGGGAAAAGTTTGGAGATTATGGGGGAAATGATTAGACCCAAGGTGAGGACACAACAGGTCACCTGACACAAGACTGGATCCAAACATTACACTGTTGATTTGATGTGCATTTTACATTTACTGTACTTTTCACAGCATTTGTTGATAATGAAATCTGAAAATACTCTGAAAACATTAAGTAACATGAGAAGACTATTCCTGGAAAATGTGGGGTGCTGTAGATGCGTAACATAAGACAAAAAAATGCCAAGGGTTTGAGTGAGCAGACTAACTGGTGTCTCCAAGTGGCCACACCTCTCCAAAGTGTGCACAGTTCCTAAGTAATTTCAATGTACTTTTATGACTCAAAGAAGAGTCTTCAACTATAAGGAGCTTTAGTTTTGAGCTCTCCTAGCTGGGCCGTTGAGGAACTAGAGTAAGAACACTTGTAGTTGTTTTGTTTGGAACACAACCCTGCATCCCCGCCATCACACAATTACTGTTGTTGTTTACGCAATACAGAAACTGACCATTTTAAATCACAATCTGGGTCAGGTGGGCATCATTTGAAGGCTTGTTCTATTGCCAACATGACTAGCTAAGTTATAAAATACGATCTTACAGTGTTAGGCTTTCACAAGGCTATTCAGAGAAACAAGATCATATTTTTGGTGCGCATAGAAACAAGTCCTGAGTGCATTCAGGTGCGTGTGCCGCGGAACATTTTCTTCGCAATAAACAAACCGGCTCATTCCGTTCAGAACAACCCAGGGTATGAAGACATTTCATCTTGTCACTGAACATCTAACATAGTGATCATAAACATTGACCCTGTATATGACATGAGTTCTATGATATGGAAATGTGAAGTGCACATTTGGACTCACAGGTGTTTGGCTTGCTTGTATGACATCAAAGCAGTATTTATTTTAATCCTCAACGTCTCATCTTTCAAAATACATAGTCCTCTTAATTTACATAATTCCCCCCACTCAGACAACATAACATGTGCAACAGTTGGCCAATCAGCGGGAGGGATGGGGGCAGCTTCTTGTCATGCGGTGTTCAAATTCAGAACAGCTGTCAGTCAAAACCCACACAGAGCTGTGAGGCACAGTCACTGAGCTCTGACGTCATGTACAGTGGGGAAAAAAAGTATTTAGTCAGCCACCAATTGTGCAAGTTCTCCCACTTAAAAAGATGAGAGAGGCCTGTAATTTTCATCATAGGTACACGTCAACTATGACAGACAAAATGAGATTTTTTTTCTCCAGAAAATCACATTGTAGGATTTTTAATGAATTTATTTGCAAATTATGGTGGAAAATAAGTATTTGGTCAATAACAAAAGTTTCTCAATACTTTGTTATATACCCTTTGTTGGCAATGACACAGGTCAAACGTTTTCTGTAAGTCTTCACAAGGTTTTCACACACTGTTGCTGGTATTTTGGCCCATTCCTCCATGCAGATCTCCTCTAGAGCAGTGATGTTTTGGGGCTGTCGCTGGGCAACACGGACTTTCAACTCCCTCCAAAGATTTTCTATGGGGTTGAGATCTGGAGACTGGCTAGGCCACTCCAGGACCTTGAAATGCTTCTTACGAAGCCACTCCTTCGTTGCCCGGGCGGTGTGTTTGGGATCATTGTCATGCTGAAAGACCCAGCCACGTTTCATCTTCAATGCCCTTGCTGATGGAAGGAGGTTTTCACTCAAAATCTCACGATACATGGCCCCATTCATTCTTTCCTTTACACGGATCAGTCGTCCTGGTCCCTTTGCAGAAAAACAGCCCCAAAGCATGATGTTTCCACCCCCATGCTTCACAGTAGGTATGGTGTTCTTTGGATGCAACTCAGCATTCTTTGTCCTCCAAACACGACGAGTTGAGTTTTTACCAAAAAGTTATATTTTGGTTTCATCTGACCATATGACATTCTCCCAATCCTCTTCTGGATCATCCAAATGCACTCTAGCAAACTTCAGACGGGCCTGGACATGTACTGGCTTAAGCAGGGGGACACGTCTGGCACTGCAGGATTTGAGTCCCTGGCGGCGTAGTGTCTTACTGATGGTAGGCTTTGTTACTTTGGTCCCAGCTCTCTGCAGGTCATTCACTAGGTCCCCCTGTGTGGTTCTGGGATTTTTGCTCACCGTTCTTGTGATCATTTTGACCCCACGGGGTGAGATCTTGCGTGGAGCCCCAGATCGAGGGAGATTATCAGTGGTCTTGTATGTCTTCCATTTCCTAATAATTGCTCCCACAGTTGATTTCTTCAAACCAAGCTGTTTACCTATTGCAGATTCAGTCTTCCCAGCCTGGTGCAGGTCTACAATTTTGTTTCTGGTGTCCTTTGACAGCTCTTTGGTCTTGGCCATAGTGGAGTTTGGAGTGTGACTGTTTGAGGTTGTGGACAGGTGTCTTTTATATTGATAACAAGTTCAAACAGGTGCCATTAATACAGGTAACGAGTGGAGGACAGAGGAGCCTCTTAAAGAAGAAGTTACAGGTCTGTGAGAGCCAGAAATCTTGCTTGTTTGTAGGTGACCAAATACTTATTTTCCACCATAATTTGCAAATAAATTCATTAGAAATCCTACAATGTGATTTTCTGGATTTTCTTTCTCTCAATTTGTCTGTCATAGTTGACGTGTACCTATGATGAAAATTACAGGCCTCTCTCATCTTTTTAAGTGGGAGAACTTGCACACTTGGTGGCTGACTAAATACTTTTTTCCCCCACTGTATCAAGAAGCTGATTAAACAGCATCATCATTACACAGGTGCACCTTGTGCTGGGGACAAAAGGCCACTTTAAAATGTGCGGTTTTGTCCCACAACACAATGCCACAGATGTCTCAAATTTTGAGGGAGCGTGCAGTTGGCATGCTGACTGCAGGAATGTCCACCAGAGCTGTTGCCAGAGAATTGAATGTTAATTTCTCTACCGTAAGCTGCCTCCAAAGTCGTTTTAGATCATTTGACAGTACATCCAACCAAATTCACAACCGCAGACCACGTGTAACCACGCCAGCCCAGGGCCTCCACGTCCAGCTTCTATACCTGCGGGATCATCTGATGAGGGGGAGGGGGGGTGCTGAGGGGTAGAAGTTACAGGTCTGTGAGAGCCAGAAATCTTGCTTGTTTGTAGGTGACCAAATACTTATTTTCCACCATAATTTGCAAATAAATTCATTAAAAATCCTACAATGTGATTTTCTGGAGAAAAAAAATCTCAATTTGTCTGTCATAGTTGACGTGTACCTATGATGAAAATTAACAGGCCTCTCTCATCTTTTTAAGTGGGAGAACTTGCACAATTGGTGGCTGACTAAATACTTTTTTTCCCCACTGTATAGCGTGTTAATGTCCAGCCACTGAGCTCTAACGTCATGTATAGCGTGTTACTGTCCAGCCATCTGAGCTTCTGACGTCATGTATAGCGTTTTACTGTACAACCCAGAGCTCTGACTCATGTATAGCGTGTACTGTCCAGCCACTGAGCTCACGTCAATGTAAGCATGTTACTGACTGTCCAGCCACTGAGCTCTGACGTCATTTAAGCGTGTTACTGGTACAGACCCAGAGCTCTGACGTCATATATAAGCGTGTTACTGTCCACACTGAGCTCTGACGTCATGTATAGCTTTACTGTCCAGCCACTGAGCTCTGACTCATGTATAGCGTGTTACTGTACAGCACCACCGTGGGGGGGGGGGGGAGGAGAGGGAGCTCTGACGTCATTATAGCGTGTTATGTACAGACCCAGAGCTCTGACGTCATGTATAGCGTGTTACTGTACAGCCACTGAGCTCTGACGTCATGTATAGCATGTTACTGTCCAGCCACAGAGCTCTGACGTCATGTATAGCGTGTTACTGTCCAGCCACAGAGCTCTGACGTCATGTATAGCGTGTTACTGTACAGACCCAGAGCTCTGACGTCATGTATAGCGTGTTACTGTCCAGCCACTGAGCTCTGACGTCATGTATAGCGTGTTACTGTACAGCCACTGAGCTCTGACGTCATGTATAGCGTGTTACTGTCCAGCCACTGAGCTCTGACGTCATGTATAGCATGTTACTGTACAGCCACTGAGCTCTGACGTCATGTATAGCGTGTTACTGTACAGACCCAGAGCTCTGACGTCATGTATAGCGTGTTACTGTCCAGCCACTGAGCTCTGACGTCATGTATAGCGTGTTACTGTCCAGCCACTGAGCTCTGACGTCATGTATAGCGTGTTACTGTCCAGACCCAGAGCTCTGACGTCATGTATAGCGTGTTACTGTCCAGCCACTGTGTTCCAATTTAGGCGTTTATCAGTGCCCAAATCTGCCATTTCCAAACCTTATACGATTATAAAGGGCTACGTAAATCAGGTGTTAAATGAGGTGAAAAGGAGACTGAAGTGCTACTTTAAGTTTGGGCAGTCAGGCATGGTCAACAAAGGTTTCAAAAAGTTCCACTGTCCATCCATGTTGTCTCACCAGAGAATGGACGTGGTTTGGATTTAGAGAACCTTCTGTTTGTCTTTTCAGTACGTCACTGAGCTTATCTCTCTTCTGTTGGTTGGCTAATGGCTACACCCTCTATGTACAGAGAAGGTTGCGTCCCAAACAGGAACCTATTCCCTATGTAGTGCACTACTTTTGACCAAGGCCCATAAGGGGATAGGGTGGCATTTGGGACACAACCAAGGTGTGTCTTTCTGACTGCTACATACTGCTGGTCTGTTCTGTTTTGAGAGAGGTCAACCTCACGCTGCTACCTCTTTTACAAGGCTCTCTCAATTTCAGTTCAATTTCAATTGAAGGGCTTTATTGGCATGGGAAACGTATGTTAACATCGCCAAAGCAAGTGAAGTAGATAGTAAACAAATGTGAAATAAATATGAACAGTAAACATTACACTCAGCAGTTCCAAAAGAATAAAGACATTTCACATGTAATATTATGTCTATATACAGTGTTGTAACAATGTGCAAATAGTTAAAGTACAAATGGGAAAATAAATAAACATATGGGTTGTATTTACAATGGTGTTTGTTCTTCACTGGTTGCCCTTTTCTTGTGGCAACATGTCACAAATCTTGCTGCTGTGATGGCTCACTGTGGTTTTTCACCCAATAGATATGGGAGTTTATCAAAATTGGGTTTATTTTCAAATTCTTTGTGGATCTGTGTAATCTGAGGGAAATATGTGTCTCTAATATGGTCATACATTTGGCAGGAGGTTAGGAAGTGCAGCTCAGTTTCCACCTCATTTTGTGGGCAGTGTGCACATAGCCTGTCTTCTCTTGAGAGCCAGGTCTGCCTACGGCAGCCTTTCTCAATAGCAAAGCTATGCTCACGGAGTCTGTACATAGTCAAAGCAATCCTTAAGTTTGGGTCAGTCACAGTGGTCAGGTATTCTGCCACTGTGTACTCTCTGTTTAGGGCCAAATAGCATTTTAGTTTGCTCAGTTTTTTTGTTAATTCTTTCCAATGTGTCAAGTAATTCTCTTTTTGTTTTCTCATGATTTGGTTTGGTATAATTGTGTTGTTGTCCTGGGGCTCTCTCTCTCTCTCTCTCTCTCTCTCTCTCTCTCTTCTCTCTCTCTCTCGCTCTCTGCTCTCTCTCTCTCTCATCTCTCTCTCTCTCTCTCTCTCTCTCTCTCTCCTCTCTCTATCTCTCTCTCTCTCTCTCTCTCTCTCTCTCTCTCTATCTTTTTTATATTCTCTGGATTATCCTTGCCCTGTGACCTGCTACCTTCAGACTAGCCAATAAAAATAAAAGATTAATGGGCAGTCTGAGAAGGTCAGCATCCCGGAGTCCCCTCTTCACTGTTGACGTTGAGACTGGTGTTTTGCGGGTACTATTTAATGAAGCTGCCAGTTGAGGACATGTGAGGCGTCTGTTTCTCAAACTAGACACTCTAATGTATTTCTCCTCTTGCTCAGTTGTGCACCGGCGCCTCCCACTCCTCTTTCTATTCTGGTTAGAGCCAGTTTGCGCTGTTCTGTGAAGGGAGTAGTACACAGCGTTGTACGAGATCTTCAGTTTCTTGGCAATTTCTCACATGGAATAGCCTTCATTTCTCAGAACAAGAATAGACTGACGAGTTTCAGAAGAAAGTTGTTTGTTTCTGGACATTTTGAGCCTGTAATCAAACCCACAATTGCTGATGCTCCAGATACTCAACTAGTCTCAAGAAGGCCAGTTTTATTGCTTCTTTAATCAGCACAACAGTTTTCAGCTGTGCTAACATAATTGCAAAAGGGTTTTCTAATGATAAATTAGCCTTTTAAAATGATAAACTTGGATTAGCAACACAACGTGCCATTGGAACACAGGACTGATGGTTGCTGATAATGGGCCTCTGTACGCCTATGTAGATATTCCATTAAAAATCAGCCGTTTCCAGCCACAATAGCCATTTACAACATTAACAATGTCTACACTGTATTTCTGATCAATTTGATGTTATTTTAATGCACCATTTTTTTTTCAAAGTGACCCCAAACTTTTGAACGGTAGTGTATGTATATCTATATACTGTATTTGCAAAAATATATGTGGGATTAGAAGTGATGCAGACAATTACATTGATGGAAGTTACAATCTATCTACAATATGAAAGCTGATATACCCCCTAAAAAATATACAGTGGGGGAAAAAAGTATTTAGTCAGCCACCAATTGTGCAAGTTCTCCCACTTAAAAAGATGAGAGAGGCCTGTAATTTTCATCATAGGTACACGTCAACTATGACAGACAAAATGAGGAAAAAAATCCAGAAAATCCCATTGTAGGATTTTTAATGAATTTATTTGCAAATTATGGTGGAAAATAAGTATTTGGTCAATAACAAAAGTTTCTCAATACTTTGTTATATACCCTTTGTTGGCAATGACACAGGTCAAACGTTTTCTGTACAATTTTGTTTCTGGTGTCCTTTGACAGCTCTTTGGTCTTGGCCATAGTGGAGTTTGGAGTGTGACTGTTTGAGGTTGTGGACAGGTGTATTTTATACTGATAACAAGTTCAAACAGGTGCCATTAATACAGGTAACGAGTGGAGGACAGAGGAGCCTCTTAAAGAAGAAGTTACAGGTCTGTGAGAGCCAGAAATCTTGCTTGTTTGTAGGTGACCAAATACTTATTTTCCACCATAATTTGCAAATAAATTCATTAAAAATCCTACAATGTGATTTTCTGGATTTTTTTTCTCAATTTGTCTGTCATAGTTGACGTGTACCTATGATGAAAATTACAGGCCTCTCTCATCTTTTTAAGTGGGAGAACTTGCACAATTGGTGGCTGACTAAATACTTTTTTTCCCCACTGTACCCCCTAAAAATATATATATAATAATAATTGTCTAAGAAGCAGTAGATCTCTTCTATGTGTCCTGTTATTATGCTTCCCCATAAGTTTCGTTTTTGTATCTTTTACTTTCAGTTTTGTACACCAGCTTCAAACCGCTGAAAATACAATATTTTAGGTTATTGACAATATACTGTATTTCACAGAGGTTTAGACGGTACAATGATTCTCTACACTATGCATTGCTTGTTTTTGTCACATAAACTGAAATTAGGCAAACTATTATTGGAATTTTTGCAACCAGGAAATGGCTGAGTGATTTTGGGATATTGCACCTTTAAATTTAGTAACAGTCAAATTATAAAACCCCAAACTATAACTCAATTTGACCTTCCTTATAACTGTCTCTCCATTGACTGTTCATTCATGGGTATGGTGGAGTTTGATCTTGATCCTGATCTGAGTTTACATTGCGAGATCAAAATGGTACCATGAAGCTAGGTGTCCGCTAGCTTGGGTCCGAACTGAATTGTTCTGTTTCACATATCGAGAAGTGCAATGGATGGATCAAGGCCACACAGGAGTTTGCTTGATGTATTTCAGTGGAAACTAGTAGATTATTTAGTTAACCTAGTAGATTATTTAGTTAACCTAGTAGATTATTTAATTAACCTAGTAGATTATTTAGTTAACCTAGTAGATTATTTAATTAACCTAGTAGATTCTTTAGTTAACCTAGTAGATTCTTTAGTTAACCTAGTAGATTATTTAGTTAACCTAGTAGATTATTTAGTTAACCTAGTAGATTCTTTAGTTAAACTAGTAGATTCTTTATTTAAACTAGTATATTATTTAATTAACCTAGTAGATTCTTTAGTTAAACTAGTATATTATTTAGTTAAACTAGTAGATTATTTAGTTAAACTAGTAGATTCTTTATTTAAACTAGTAGATTATTTAGTTAAACTAGTAGATTATTGATTTAACCTAGTAAATTCTTTAGTTAATATCATTGACTCAGTATCAGTTGTAACCAGGGTTTGGAACCACTTTTTTTTTTTGGCAATCGTTTCTTTCTCAACAGAACCCTTTAAAAAAAAAAATCAGTTCCACTGTTTGGGCAAAATAAAGTTCTGAACACGTTCGAACCAAAAAATAGTACCGGTTTATATCATTATTTTCTGTTCCTTTTTAAACCTCTGAAATCTGCAAAAAAAATTAAATACATTTAGCTTGACATTAAATTACTTCACCAACCAAGTGCGGATAGAGCAGCTTGCTATGGAGCGGGTAAGCATTTTAATCTGCATAGGAAAGTCGTTAAGAGCAAATTGTATTTTGCCATAACTTGTTATGACATGCATTATCTGAATTAGGCCCACATAATTATACCTATGGAGGAAAGGCTTCAATGGAGGAACTTTGAATGTCTTTGAATTTCCGAGTTGGGTTAAAGTTGGACCAGACCAAACGTTAGCTAGCTAGCTAACAAGCAGAGCAGCACTAGAATTAAAAACATTTCTTAAATTTTTGTAGTTAATACATCCAATGAGAAACGTGATAACTATAGTATCCTAAACTAGCATTGAAAAAGTTTATCCATTCTTCTAAAATTAAACATCTCTCCCCTAATTTATGAACCACGCTTGTAACGTCGTCAGTAGGCTACAGTAACCTATACGTCAGAGGGGAGGGGCAGGTAACCTACACGCACACCCATTGGTAAAGATTTCCAGCTGGCAGGCAGATGCTGGAATACGTTTCTGACATTTTTGTGGGACTGGGAAAAAGAATGCCCGGAACGTTATTAACCGGTTCCCATGCTTCTAAAATAACGGTTCTGTTCTGGAACAGTGTAGAGCACTTTCGTTTCAGGTTCGGCTTCTGTTCCTCTAATAACTGTATTATTTTCTGGTTTTTCGTTTCTGTTCCCTGAACCGGTTACAACCGTTGGTAGTAACCTTACTTCTGTTTGTTTGTGTTCATACACTAGTAAATCACCAGTTAGTTAGTAAATACATTGCACAGAGAGAGAGAGAGAGAGAGCGTCATTAAGCTGAGCAGACTAATGAGAGCGGAGGTAGTTTAGTAGGGACAGCAGTCTGGTCTTTGATGATGATTATATTGTGTAGCTGAGCCTTTCATCTTCATTCATCACAATAGACTGCAGCAGGACGGAAAACAATGTTAGGCCTGGGATCTGCCTCTCACTTTCAAGTCTATTGGGTTCAATGGCTGTATAAATATGGTTGAGCTAGTCGGAAATGAAGACAAGCTTTTTTTTTTTTTTTTTTTTTTAGGAAGACAGACTGTTAACTTTTATGTTTAGACTGTTTTATGGAAGTCCAGCTGTGTCCAGCCCCTGCACACAGACACACACACACACATACACACGTTTGTTTTACTATTCTTGTGGGGACCAAACAATTGATTCCCATTCAAATTCCTATTTTCCCTAACCCTAACCTTAACCCTAACTCCCAAATCTAATTCTAACCCTAAACCTAACCCCTAAGCCTAAAATAGCCTTTTTCCTTGTGGATGCCTGCGAAATGTCCCCACTTGTCCAAATATTCCTTGTTTTACTATCCCTGTAAGGACCTCTGGTAAAACCAAACACACACACACAGGGTCCAGCCAAACGTCTCCTCAGCACTTGTCTCTGTAATGAAAGTTATGAAACCGTCTGGAATATTATGTAATATTACATTCAGCACTTCCTTTAATTATCTCCCCTCAGCAGGCCACAAGGCTCAGACAAATTTATTTTTAATTTCACCTTTATTTAACTAGGCAAGTCAGTTAAGAACAAATTCTTATTTACAATGAAGGCCTACCCCGGCCAAACCCGGACGACGCCCAATGGGACTCCCAATCACGGCCGGAGATGGAGGTACAGGTGTTTGTACTCGCTGCTCTTTGCCCTTAATTGCTCTGACAAAGAATGTGTGTGTGTGTGTGTGTGTGTGTGTGTGTGTGTGTGTTCACGCATACTCATGGCCTGTCGCTGTGTGTGTTCACTGCGTTCACACTCTGTTTCTCCATAGCTGTCATTAAGACAGATATAAGCACAACTTACACTGAAGCCCAGCCCCATAGCTGTCATTAAATACGCTTTTTGTCTTTATAATGGACCATCTGACAGGATTTTATTGCCCACTGTGTTGAAGCTATTCTAGTATGTCAGAAAAGCCCAGAGGACTCACCACAAACAAGCCAACTAGAATTCCTCTGAAACCTGAAACATAATATTTCAATGCTTCTATTCTCATGTTGAGAGAGGCACTAAAACAAAATGTGATCCTTATGTCTACAAAAAAAAGTTAACTCTGAATTGTAGCTTTACGCTGAGGTACCCCTTGAAGCTTCAATAGCAGCAGAGGATCTTTTTTTTTTTGCCAGACTTGTCAGTCAAACTGATAAACCTTTTGTTTTAAACTAAATCACAAAACAAAAAGGTTTTTTCAGCTTGTTCGGTTGCTTGAGAAAAAAGGTCTAGTCGAAACGTTAATAATTAAAAACCTGATCCAAAACAGGGATGACCTGAGTGAAGGCATCTATTGTGTGTGCTAACCAAGCAGAAAGCCAAGCTTTAATAGGAGCATTAACTGTTCCAGGATCAGACTGGGAGTTGATTCTGCCTCCGCTCCGCCTGTTGTTCTGGCAGCTGATAAATAACACAAGGGTTAGATTTACTACTACTGTTTTCATATTAAATCCAGGTCTAAACCTTAACATGTCCCCCTTGGCCCTTGGATCACCTCGTGTCTAAACACAGCGGCCCCAGGAGGTTCTGGACTGGATGAGGCTCAACCTCCATCCCAAATGGCACCCTATTCCCTACATACAAGTAGTGCACTACAATATACCCTGGTCAAAAGTAGTGCAGTATATAGGGTGCCATTTGCGACGCAGCCTCAGTCCATTCAAACGGTTCACAGGGTCTGTCTGTCTACTTACGGACAGACCGACAGACCCTGTTCCAGACCACTGGGAAACGGGCCCAACGCACGACAACTTTGATCCCTGTGTGTCTTTTTGGCGTCAGAGAAATACACTGCTCAAAAAAATAAAGGGAACACAAAAATAAAACATCCTAGATCTGAATGAATTAAATAATCTTATTAAATACTTTTTTCTTTACATAGTTGAATGTGCTGACAACAAAATCACACAAAAATGATCAATGGAAATCAAATTTATCAACCCATGGAGGTCTGGATTTGGAGTCACCCTCAAAATTAAAGTGGAAAACCACACTACAGGCTGATCCAACTTTGATGTAATGTCCTTAAAACAAGTCAAAATGAGGCTCAGTAGTGTGTGTGGCCTCCACGTGCCTGTATGACCTCCCTACAACGCTTGGGCATGCTCCTGATGAGGTGGCGGATGGTCTCCTGAGGGATCTCCTCCCAGACCTGGACTAAAGCATCCGCCAACTCCTGGACAGTCTGTGGTGCAACGTGGCATTGGTAGATGGAGCGAGACATGATGTCCCAGATGTGCTCAATTGGATTCAGGTCTGGGGAACGGGCGGGCCAGTCCATAGCATCAATGCTTTCCTCTTGCAGGAACTGCTGACACACTCCAGCCACATGAGGTCTAACATTGTCTTGCATTAGGAGGAACCCAGGGCCAACCGCACCAGCATATGGTCTCACAAGGGGTCTGAGGATCTCATCTCGGTACCTAATGGCAGTCAGGCTACCTCTGGTGAGCACATGGAGGGCTGTGCGGCCCCCCATAGAAATGCCACCCCACACCATGACTGACCCACAGCCAAACCGGTCATGCTGGAGGATGTTGCAGGCAGCAGAACGTTCTCCACGGCGTCTCCAGACTCTGTCACGTCTGTCACGTGCTCAGTGTGAACCTGCTTTCATCTGTGAAGAGCACAGGGCGCCAGTGGCGAATTTGCCAATCTTGGTGTTCTCTGGCAAATGCCAAACGTCCTGCACGGTGTTGGGCTGTAAGCACAACCCCCACCTGTCGATGTCGGACCCTCATACCACCCCCATGGAGTCTGTTTCTGACCGTTTGAGCAGCCACATGCACATTTGTGGCCTGCTGGAGGTCATTTTGCAGGGCTCTGACAGTGCTCCTCCTGCTCCTCCTTGCACAAAGGCGGAGGTAGCAGTCCTGCTGCTGGGTTGTTGCCCTCCTACGGCCTCCTCCACGTCTCCTGATGTACTGGCCTGTCTCCAGGTAGCGCCTCCATGCTCTGGACACTACGCTGACAGACACAGCAAACCTTCTTCCCACAGCTCGCATTGATGTGCCATCCTGGATGAGCTGCACTACCTGAGCCACTTGTGTGGGTTGTAGACTCCGTCTCATGCTACCACTAGAGTGAAAGCACCGGCAGCATTCAAAAGTGACCAAAACATCAGCCAGGAAGCATAGGAACGGAGAAGTGGTCTGTGGTCATCACCTGCAGAACCACTCCTTTATTGGGGGTGTCTTGCTAATTGCCTATAATTTTCACCTGTTGTCTATTCCATTTGCACAACAGCATGTGAAATGTATTGTCAATCAGTGTTGCTTCCTAAGTGGACAGTTTGATTTCACAGAAGTGTGATTGACTTGGAGTTACATTGTGTTGTTTAAGTGTTCCTTTTATTTTTTTGAGCAGTGTAGATCCAGAGACGGGAACTTAAGTGACTGACTGGCCGGCCTCTTGAAGCTGAGCACAGGGTAAACAGCTTAAATCATAGACAATATATCTATATCTATGGCGAATATACACTAGAACTCTATGTACTGTACTGTCCAATACAGTACACTCACTGTTCCTCTGTTCTCAAGTGAGACCTGGCCATCATCAGTACCAAACGATCTCCGTCAGCACAGTTGGATCTGAACACGATTCACCTGTCCCTGTGTTATGATCCCTGCTGGAATTTAACCCACAAAGCTATTAATTACTGCACCAACGGAGCCAGTCACATCATCAGTCACACAGGACTATCACGTGAGATGTAGATGGATGACAGTCTCTTCAGGTTCTGTGACAAATCTGTCTTGTCTCTGAAAAAGGAGAAAATAGCTTTCATTTCTTAATTGAAAACATTTTGACTGCTACACCAAAGTTTCCATTTTACGACCGCAACCTAAAGTGTCTTCAGATCTATCACAGTGACAGAGAGAAACAAAGACAGTGGACAGCTAATCCCCAGACTCGAAAGAGTCATAAGAGAGGCTCTACCCTCCGTTCTATTGGCGAACGTACAATCACTAATTTTCCATACGCACAAAAAGGTAATTTCTTTCAAATGTTAGTGAGCATTTCTCCTTTGCCAAGATAATCCATCCACCTGACACGTGTGGCATATCAAGAAGCTGATTAAACGGCATGATCATTACACAGGTGCACCTTGTACTGGAGACAATAAAAGGCCACTCTAAAATGTTTTGTCACACAACACAATGCCACGGATGTCTCATGTTTTGAGGGACTGATATACATATTTTTTTCGTACTGAAAAAGACCGCACTCAACGAGCTGTATAAGGCCATAAGCAAACAAGAAAATGCTCATCCAGAGGCGGCGCTCCTAGTGGCCGGTGATTTTAATGCAGGGAAACTGAAATCCGTCTTACCTCATTTTGACCAGCATGTCACCTGTGCAAATAGAGGTGACAAAAATCATCTTTACTCCACACACAGAAACACATACAAAGCTCTCCCTCGCCCTCCATTTGGCAAATCTGACCATAACTCTATCCTCCTGATTCCTGCTTACACACAAAAACTCAAACAGGAAGCACCAGTGTTGTGCTCAATACGGAAGTGGTCCGATTAAGCGGATGCTAAGCTACAGGACTGTTTCGCTAACACAGATTGGAATAGGTTCCGGGATTCATACGATAACATTGAGGAGTTCACCACATCAGCCACCAGCTTCACTAAAAAGTGCATCAACAACGTCGTCCCCACAGTGACCATCATTACATATCCCAACCAGAAGCCATGGATTACAGGCAACATCTGTACTGAGCTAAAGGCTAGAGCTGATGCTTTCAAGGAGTGGTACACTAATCTGGACTCTTACACGAAATCCCACTACGACCTCCGACGAGCCATCAAACAGGCAAAACATCAATACAGGACTAAGATCAGATCCCATTACACCGGCTCTGATGCTCGTCGGATGTGGCAGGGCTCGCAAACTATCACGGATTACAAAGGCAAACCCAGCCGTGAGCTGCCCAGTGACTCGAGCCTACCAGATGAGCTAAATGCCTTTTATGCTCGCTTCGAGGCAAACAACACTGAACCATGCATGAGAGCACCAGCTGTTCCAGACAACTGTGTGTTCTCGCTGCCCGTAGCCGATGTAAGACCTTTAAACATTTTAACATTCACAAGGCTGCAGGGCCAGATGGATTACCAGGACACGTACTCAGAGCATGCGCTGACCAGCTGGCAAGTGACTTCACTGACATTTTCAACCTCTTCCTGACCCAGTCTGTAACACCTACATGTTTCAAGCAGACCACCATAGTCCCTGTGCCCAAGAATGCCAAGGTAACCTGTCTAAATGACTATCTCACATCTGTAGCCATAAAATGCTTTGAAAGGCTGGTCATGGCTCACATCAACACCATCATCCCAGACACCCTGGACCCACTCCAATTTACATACCATCCCAATAGACCACAGATCACGCAATCTCTGTTGCACTCCACACTGCCCTTTCTCACCTGGACAAGAGGAACACCTATGTGAGAATACTGTTCATTGACTATAGCTCAGCGTTCAACACCATTGTGCCCTCCAAGCTCATCACTAAGCTCAGGATCCTGGGACTGAATACCTCCCTCTGCAACTGGATCCTGGACTTCCTGAAAGGCCACCCCCAGGTGATGAGGGTAGGCAACAACACATCCGCCACGCTGACCCTCAATATGGGGGCCCCTCAGGACATGGGGGCCCCTCAGGGGTGCATGCTTAGTTCCGTCCTGTACTCCCTGTTCACCCACAACTCAACGGCCACCAGCTCTGCACCCTCCGCTGCAACTTGCCCATGCCCCCCCCCCACTTCTCCTTCACCCAAATTCAGATAGCTGATGTCCTGAAAGAGCTGCTAAATCTGGACCCCTACAAATCAGCTGGGCTAGACAATCTGGACCCACCAATCCACATCGAAGGGGCTGTAGTGGAACGGGTCAAGAGCTTCCAGTTCCTCAGTGTCCTCATCACTAAGGAATCATCATGGTCCACACACACCAACACAGTTGGCACAACAACGCCTGATCCCCCTCAGGAGGCTGAAAAGATTCGGCATGGGCCCTCAGACCCTCAAAAGTTATACAGCGGCACCATCGAGAGCATCTTGACTGGCTGCATCAAATCAAATCAAAAAACATCAAATCAAATCAAATTTTGCTCATCACATGCGCCGAATACAACCGGTGTAGACTTTAGAGTGAAATGATTGCTTACAAACCTTTCCCAACGATGCAGAGTTTAAAAAATAATCATACAAAATAAAATAGTAACTAACACAAGGAATACAATTAAAATACACAAGAACGGAACTATACACAGGGAGTACCAGTACCAGATCAATGTGGAGCTATATACAGGAAGTACCAGTACCAGATCAATGTGGAGCTATATACAGGGAGTACCAGTACCAGATCAATGTGGAGCTATACACAGGGAGTACCAGTACCAGATCAATGTGCAGAGGTATTTGATATGTACACGAAGGCACGGTAATGATGCTGCCATGGTGACCCCTTGACCTTTTACACAGTTTGTTACATTACAGCCTTATTCTAAAATGGATTAAATTGTTTTTTTTACCTAATCAATCTACACACAATACCCCATAATGACAAAGCAAAAAATACTGAAATATCACATTTACAAAAGTATTCAGACCCTTTACTCAGTACTTTGTTGAAGCACCTTTGGCAGCGATTACAGCCTCGAGTCTTCTTGGGTATGACGCTACAAGCTTGGCACACCTTTATTTGGGGAGTTTCTCCCATTCTTTTCTGCAGATCCTTTCAATTTTGGTCAGGTTGGATGGGGAGCGTCGCTGCGCAGCTATTTTCAGGTCTCTCCAGAAATGTTCGATCGGGTTCAAGTCCGGACTCCAGCTGGGCCACTCAAGGACATTCAGATATTTGTCCCAAAGCCACTCATGCGTTGTCTTGGCTGTGTGCTTAGGGTCGTTGTCCTGTTGGAAGGTGAACCTTCGCCCCAGTCTGAGGTCCTGAGTGCTCTGGAGCAGGTTTTCATCAAGGATCTCTCTGTACTTTGCTCCGTTCATCTTTCCCTCCATCCTGACTAGTCTCCCAGTCCCTGCTGCTGAAAAACATCCCCACAGCATGATGCTGCCACCACCATGCTTCACTGTAGGGATGGTGCCAGGTTTCCTCCAGACGTGACACTTGGCATTCAGGCCAAAGAGTTCAATCTTGGTTTCATCAGACCAGAGAATCTTGTTTCTCATGGTCTGAGAGTCCGTTAGGTGCCTTTTGGTCCTCTGTAGCTCAATTGGTAGAGCATGGCGCTTGTAACGCCAGGGTAGTGGGTTCGATCCCCGGGACCACCCATACGTAAAAATGTATGCACGCATGACTGTAAGTCGCTTTGGATAAAAGCATCTGCTAAATGGCATATTATTATTATTATTATTTTTATTAACTCCAAGCGGACTGTCATGTGCCTTTTACTGAGGAGTGGCTTCCGTCTGGCCACTCTACCATGAAGGCCTGATTGGTGGAGTTCCCCAGATCTGTGCCTTGACACAATCCTGTCTCGGAGCTCTACGGACAATTCCTTCGACCTCATGGCTTGGTTTTGCACTGTCATGCACTGTCAACTGTGGGACCTTATATAGACAGGTGTGTGCCTTTCCAAATCATGTCCAATCAATTGAATTTACCACAGTTGGACTCCAATCAAGTTGTAGAAACATCTCAAGGATGATCAATGGAAATAGGATGCACCTGAGCTCAATTTAGAGTCTCACAGAAAAGGGTCTGAATACTTAAATAAGGTATATGTTTTTTATTTTTTCATAAATTTGCAAACATTTCTAAAAAAATGTTTTCACTTTGTCATTATGGGGTATTGTGTGTAGATTGATGAGGAAAACATTTAAGTTAATCAATTTTAGAATAAGGCTGTAACGTAGTAAAATGTGGAAAAAGTCAAGGGGTCTGAATATTTTCTGAATGCGCTGTATGTACATGAAGGCAGGGTAAAGTGACTAGGCATCAGGATAGATAATAATAAGGTATTTGAGGTAGATATGTACATGAAGGCAGGGTAAAGTGACTAGGCATCAGGATAGATAATAATAAGGTATTTGAGGTAGATATGTACATGAAGGCAGGGTAAAGTGACTAGGCATCAGGATAGATAATAATAAGGTATTGGAGGTAGATATGTAGATGAAGGCAGGGTAAAGTGACTAGGCATCAGGATAGATAATAATAAGGTATTTGAGGTAGATATGTCCATGAAGGCAGGGTAAAGTGACTAGGCATCAGGATAGATAATAATAAGGTATTTGAGGTAGATATGTACATGAAGGCAGGGTAAAGTGACTAGGCATCAGGATAGATAATAATAAGGTATTTGAGGTAGATATGTACATGAAGGCAGGGTAAAGTGACTAGGCATCAGGATAGATAATAATAAGGTATTTGAGGTAGATATGTACATGAAGGCAGGGTAAAGTGACTAGGCATCAGGATAGATAATAATAAGGTATTTGAGGTAGATATGTAGATGAAGGCAGGGTAAAGTGACTAGGCATCAGGATAGATAATAATAAGGTATTTGAGGTAGATATGTACATGAAGGCAGGGTAAAGTGACTAGGCATCAGGATATATAATAATAAGGTATTTGAGGTAGATATGTACATGAAGGCAGGGTAAAGTGACTAGGCATCAGGATATATAATAATAAGGTATTTGAGGTAGATATGTACATGAAGGCAGGGTAAAGTGACTAGGCATCAGGATAGATAATAATAAGGTATTTGAGGTAGATATGTACATGAAGGCAGGGTAAAGTGACTAGGCATCAGGATAGATAATAATAAGGTATTGGAGGTAGATATGTACATGAAGGCAGGGTAAAGTGACTAGGCATCAGGATAGATAATAATAAGGTATTTGAGGTAGATATGTACATGAAGGCAGGGTAAAGTGACTAGGCATCAGGATATATAATAATAAGGTATTTGAGGTAGATATGTACATGAAGGCAGGGTAAAGTGACTAGGCATCAGGATATATAATAATAAGGTATTTGAGGTAGATATGTACATGAAGGCAGGGTAAAGTGACTAGGCATCAGGATAGATAATAATAAGGTATTGGAGGTAGATATGTACATGAAGGCAGGGTAAAGTGACTAGGCATCAGGATAGATCATAATAAGGTATTTGAGGTAGATATGTACATGAAGGCAGGGTAAAGTGACTAGGCATCAGGATAGATACTAATAACATTTTTACATTTTTACATTTTAGTCATTTAGCAGACGCTCTTATCCAGAGCGACTTACAGTTAGTGAGTGCATACATGTTTTTCATACTGGGCCCAATAAGGCCCAATAAGAGTGAAGAACAGAGTAGCAGCATCAAATGACGATTGTAAAAGTGTTTGTGTGAGTGTGCGTGTGTGTTTGTGTTGTGTCGGAATGCGCGTGTGTGTGTTATGTGTGTGTGTGTGCGTATGTAGTGTTTGAATGTGTGAGGGATTTGGTTTTGATTGACAGTGTAGTGTGAGTGAAGGTGTGTGTATATAACGTGTAGTGTAGTCCGTAGGCTCAGTGCAAGATAGAGTCAGTGCAGATAGTTCGGGTACTATTCATTGGCTATTTGGCAGTCTTATGGCTTGAGGGTAGAAGCTGTCTCAGAGCCTGTTGGTCCGAGATCCGATGTCCCGGTACTGTTTCCCGGACGGTATCAGTGTGAACAGTCTATGGTTTGGGTGGCTGGACTCTGTGGCAATTTTCTGCCCTTCATCTGACACCGCCTGGTATAGAGGTTCTGGATTGCATGGAGCTCGGTCCCAGTGATGTACAGTGCTGTCCGCACCACCCTTTGTAGCGCTTTGCGGACAAAGGTGGTGCAATTACCATACTAAGCGGTGATGCAGCCAGTCAACATGCTCTCGTTGGTGCAGCTGTATAACTTTTTGAGGATCTGAAGGCCCATGCCAAAACGTTTCAGCCTCCTCAGGGGGAAGAGGCGCTGCTGTGCCCTCTTCACGACTGTGTGGGTGGGTATACACTCATGTATTCTAGGGGATACACTCATAGCCGTGGGAAGATGTTTTGAGTTGGGAGTGCTAGTAACACAATGCATGCATCTACACTGAGTATACAAAACATTAGGAACACCTTCTGAATATTGAGTTAAACCCCCTTTTGCTCTCAGAACAGCCTCAATTCGTTGGGGGCGTGGACTCTACAAGGTGTCGAAAGCGTTCCAAAGGGATGCTGGCCCATGTTGACTCCAATGCTTCTTCCAGTTCTGTTGTCAAGTTGGCTGAATGTCCTTTGGGTGGTGGACCATTCTTGATGCACACGGGAAACTGTTGAGCATGAAAAACCCAACAGTGTTACAGTTCTTAAAACATAAACCGGTGCGCCTGGCATCTACTACCATACCCGGTTCAAAGGCACTTCAATCTTTTGTCTTGTCCATTCACCCTCTGAATGGCACACATACACAATCCATGTCTCAATTGTCTCAATGCTTAAAAATCCTTCTTTAACCCATCTCCTCCCCTTCAGCTACACTGATTGAAGTGGATTTAACAACTGGATTCACCTGGTCTATCTATGTCATGGAAAAAGCAGCTGTTCCTAATGCTTTGTACACTGTGTATAATACCATTTGCGTAGCATACAGTTGAGCAGATGGGTTTTTAGGATTTCCAAACATGGGGATAATTTTTTTCAGGGTCTAGAAAAACAATTGTCCTTTTATAAACACATCTCATGCATTCTACGTCATTTACATGATAGAAGACATTAGCAGAATATGTTTTAATACCACACAAATGGCCAAATGCAGTCTACTGTGCAACTCGCTATTCAGGTAGGATGCAATTCTGGAACTTATTTTATCGTATTCATAATCGTTTATTTTATCATTTGTATTATTGTGTATCATTGTTATTATCGTAGGCCTATTTATTCATCGAAACCAGCTCTTTAAATTTGCAAATGTGTTTTGTTTCATTCTGTTGAGACATTTTCGCTGGCTAAATTAAGTTTGATCGAGGGTGGTGGGGGAGGTTCTACCCCTTTAGGTATATTGAATGTGGTCTTTACTACTAGAAACACATAGAAACACATAGAAACACATAGAAACACATATAAACACATAGAAACACATTGAATAACACATTCATAAATGGCAAAAGAGACAGTCAAAAAATAAATCAGAAGGAACGAGGTTTGAAGTGTCTGTCCTATATCTAGTACATATAAGAAAGATCAGGAAATATATATATATTATTTAACCCCATTACATTTGTACAGGTTACCTTCGGACGAGTCCCGTGACACTTGTCGTAGAGCGAAATGGAGAACACCATCGCGTTCGTGAGAGACTCCCCTTTCCATAGAGTGGTCATATTATTTTGTAGGCCAAACTGTCTGGACGCTACAGACGTTTATGTGAGAAGACCGATTTCCTGGGACAAACACCAGCTAGGCCACCTTCCACTGCAGATGCGGAAAGGCTTACATAAGGCGGAGGCGGTGGATTGAGATGCAGCCCATGCAACAAAAACAACAACAGATCTCTAGTTCAAACTGACAGATTTTGATGGGGATTTTTTTTAAATTATGTTACTTAGATTGACGTACGGGTGTGTCAATAGATTTAAGGATTAATAGAAAATTACTTTAGTAAACATGAAAGTCACCCAGTAAAATACTACTTGAGTAAAATACTAAAAGTACTTAGTTTTAAATATACTTAAGTATCAAAAGTAAATGTAATTGCTAAAATATACTTAATTATCAAAAGTAAAAGTAGAAATAATTTCAAATTCCTTATCAAGCAAACCAGATTTCAAATTTTTAAATTTTTAATTAACCGGTAGCCAGGGGCTATCAGCAACACTCAGACATCATTTACAAACGAAGCGATGTGGGTTTAATGAGTCTGCTAGATCAGAGGCAGTAGGGATGACCAGGGATGTAAGTGCGTGAATTTGACCATTTTCCTTTCCCGCTGAGCATTCAAATTGTAACGAGTACTTTGGTTATCAGGGAATATATATGGAGTAAAAAGTACATTATTTTCTTTAGGAAAATAGTGAAGTAAAATATAAATAGTAAATTACAGATACCCCAATTAAAGTATTTTTTACTGTAAGTGAAAAAACTTAATCCACAGCTACATATTTTATAGAATTGTATTGATCCTCTATGGCTAAATTATGCTGTCTGATGTAATGTTTTGAATTATTTTATTTATATCTATTCAGACAGGAGTAATATAATTTTGGAAATTGTTATTTATTTAATTTGGGTAAAATTATTTCAATTTATCAGGGTTGCTGCAGCTATTATAAGTAGTCCTATGACAAAAAAAAATTACTGGCATGACAATTATTTCTCATCTTGTGGTCAATCCTGCTATTTCTTGGATGCCCCGGCTCCACCCCCGTCTCGCACATTCTGTCCTTCTGTGTTTTGTCCTGTACATTTCTAACATTGGTCTTTCTGTCCGTCTGTCCATCTCCTATCATATCTCTCAGGGGAAGAGAAAGAGAGAAGGAGAGAGAGAAGCGCGAGAGCGACGATCTCTCCTCCTCGAGATTATTCTCGTCTCGTAGAGAGCTACCCTCTATCTCTCTCTCTCTGCTCTCTCTCTCTCCTCTCTCTCATCTCAATGTCTCTCTCTCTCTCTCTCCATGTCTCTCTCTCTCTCTCTCTCTCTCCATGTCTCTCTCTCTCTCTCTCTCTCCCCATGTCTCTGTCTCTCTCTCCCCATGTCTCTCTCTCTCTCTCCATGTCTCTCTCTCTCTCTCCATGTCTCTCTCTCTCTCTCTCTCTCTCTCTCTCCCCTCTTCTAGCTGTTTGTGCTGTGTCATGGCCTACTGCAGCTCACCCAGCTGCTCTACAGCTCCTACTTTAAGAGCACCATCACCACCATCGAGAGACGCTTCGGTCTCAGCAGCTTCTCCTCTGGCACCATCTCCTCTCTGCACGAGGTAGGAGGCAGATCCCACCACAACACACTACAGCAATAGCAAGTAGTTCATCATGATGTGATACACAAGTAGTGGAATATCAGTAACATGTAAACAACTGGCTAGTAGGTTCAAGATTGACTTCTAATGAATGTTATATGTCAAATAAAATAAAATAAAATAAAATTTTATTGGCCACATGCGCCGAATACAACAGGTGCAGACATTACAGTGAAATGCTTACTTACAGCCCTTAACCAACAGTGCATTTATTTTTTTATAAAAAAGTAAAATAAAACAACAACAAAAAAGTGTTGAGAAAAAAAGAGCAGAAGTAAAATAAAATAACAGTAGGGAGGCTATATACAGGGGGGTACCGGTGCAGAGTCAATGTGCGGGGGCACCGGCTAGTTGAGGTAGTTGAAGTAATATGTACATGTGGGTAGAGAGGGGGGGGGGCAGTGCAAATAGTCCGGGTATCCATGATTAGCTGTTCAGGAGTCTTATGGCTTGGGGGTAGAAGCTGTTGAGAAGTCTTTTGGACCTAGACTTGGCACTCCAGTACCGCTTGCCGTGCGGTAGCAGAGAGAACAGTCTATGACTACGGTGACTGGAGTCTTTGACAATTTTGAGGGCCTTCCTCTGACACCGCCTGGTATAGAGGTCCTGGATGGCAGGACGCTTGGCCCCAGTGATGTACTGGGCCGTACGCACTACCCTCTGTAGTGCCTTGCGGTCGGAGGCCAAGCAGTTGCCATACCAGGCGGTGATGCAACCAGTCAGGATGCTCTCGATGGTGCAGCTGTAGAATTTTTTGAGGATCTGAGGACCATGCCAAATCTTTTCAGTCTCCTGAGGGGGAATAGGCTTTGTCGTGCCCTCTTCACGACTTTCTTGGTGTGTTTGGACCATGATAGTTAGTTGGTGATGTGGACACCAAGGAACTTGAAGCTCTCAACCTGTTCCACTCCATCCCCGTCGATGAGAGTGGGGGCGTGCTCAGTCCTCTTTTTTTTCTTGTAGTCCACAATCATCTCCTTTGTCTTGGTCACGTTGAGGGAGAGGTTGTTATCCTTGCACCACACGGCCAGGTCTCTGACCTCCTCCCTATAGGCTGTCTCATCGTTGTCGGTCCATACGGACCATACGTCGGGACTACCGGCCGTGGTGACTCCTTGCTATCCCCAGTCCGCCTGGCCTTGCTGCTATTCCAGTTTAAACTGTTCTGCCTGCGGTTATGGAACCCCTACCTGTCCCAGACCTGCTGTTTTAAACTCTAATGATCGGCTATGAAAAGCCAACTGAGATTTATTCCTGATTATTATTTGACCATGCTTGTCACTTATGAACATTTTTGAACATCTTGGCATGGTTCTGTTATAATCTCCACCCGGCACAGCCAGAAGAGGACTGGCCACCCCTCATAGCCTGGTTCCTCTCTAGGTTTCTTCCTAGGTTTTGCCTTTCTAGGGAGTTTTTCCTAGCCACCGTGCTTCTACACCTGCATTACTAGCTGTTTGGGGTTTTAGGCTGGGTTTCTGTACAGCACTTCGAGATATTAGCTGATGTAAGAAGGGCTATATAAAATAAAATAGATTGATTGATTGATCAGGCCTACCACTGTCATGTCGTCGGCAAACTTAATGATGGTGTTGGAGTCGTGCCTGGCCATGCAGTCATGGGTGAACAGGGAGTACAGGAGGGGACTGAGCACACACCCCTGAGGGGCCCCCGTGTTGAGGATCAGTGTGGTAGATGTGTTGTTACCTACCCTTACCACCTGGGGGCGGCCCGTCAGGAAGTCCAGGATCCAGTTGCAGAGGGAGGTGTTTAGTCCCAGGATCCTTAGCTTAGTGTTGAGCTTTGAGGGCACTATGGTGTTGAATGCTGAGCTGTAGTCAATGAATAGCATTCTCACGTAGGTGTTCCTTTTGTCCAGGTGGGAAAGAGCAGTGTGGAGTGCAATAGAGATTGCATCATCTGTGGATCTGTTTGGGCGGTATGCAAATTGGAGTGGGTCTAGGGTTTCTGGGATAATGGTGTTGATGTGAGCCATGACCAGCCTTTCAAAACACTTCATGGCTACAGACGTCAGTGCTACGGGTCGGTAGTCATTTAGGCAGGTTATCTTAGTGTCCTTGGGCACAGGGACTATGGTGGTCTGCTTGAAACATGTTGGTATTACAGACTCAGTCAGGGACATGTTGAAAATGTCAGTGAAGACACTTGCCAGTTGGTCAGCACATGCTAGGAGTACACGTCCTGGTAATCCGTCTGGCCCTGCGGCCTTGTGAATGTTGACCTGCTTAAAAGTCTTACTCACATCGGCTACGGCGAGCGTGATCACATAGTCATCCGGAATAGCTGGTGCTCTCATGCATGCTTCAGTGTTGCTTGCCTCGAAGCGAGCATAGAAGTGGTTTAGCTCGTCTGGAAGGCTTGTGTCACTGGGCAGCTTGGGGCTGGGCTTCCCTTTGTAGTCTGTAATAGTTTTCAAGCCCTGCCACATCCGATGAGAGTCAGAGCCGGTGCAGTACGATTCAATCTTAGTCCTGTATTGACTCTTTGCCTGTTTGATGGTTCGTCGGAGGGCATAGCGGGATTTCTTATAAGCGTCCGGGTTAGAGTCCCGCTCCTTGAAAGCGGCAGCTCTACCCTTTAGCTCAGTGTGGATGTTTCCTGTAATCCATGGCTTCTGGTTGGGGTATGTCAATACGACAGTGGTGTAAAGTACTTAAGTAAAAATTCTTAAGTCGTTTTGGGGTATCTGTACTTTACCTAATTTTTTGTATTTTTGACAACTTTTACTTTTACTTCACTACATTCCTAAAGAAAATAATGTACTTTTTACTCCATACATTTTCTCTGACACCCAAAAGTACTTGTTACATTATGACAGGAAAATGGTCCAATTTACGCACTTATCAAGAGAACATCCCTGGTCATCCCTACTGCCTCTGATCTGGCGGACCCACTAAACACAAATGCTTCATTTGTAAATGATGTCTGAGTGTTGGAGTGTGCCCCTGGCTATCTGTAAATAAAAAATTAAAAACAAGAAAGTTCTGCCGTCTGGTTTGCTCAATACAAGGATTTATATAACGATTTATTTTAAGTATATTTAAAATACTTTTAGACTTTTACTCAGGCAGTATTTTACTGGGTGACTTTCATTTTTACTTGAGTCATTTTCGATAAGGTTTAATCTTTATTTTTACTCAAGTATGACAATTGAGTACTTGAGGGGCGGCAGGTAGCTTAGTGGTTAAGAGCGTTGTGCCAGTAACTGAAAGGTCGCTGGATCTAATCCCCGAGCCGACTAGGTGAAAAATCTGTCGATGTGCCCTTGAGCAAGGCACTTAACCCTAATTGCTCCTGTAAGTCGCTCTGGATAAGAGCGTCTGCTAAATGACGTAAATGTTTTTCCACCACTGCAATACGGTGTTGTCTGAGGCCTGCTCCTAGTTAAGAAGTAAAAAATATCCTCTGCAGCCATGTGTTGCTACTGCGTCCTCCTGATGACAGGGCCCTCTCTGTCTCTCTCTCTCTCTCTCTCTCTCTCTCTCTCTCTCTCTCCCTCTCTCTCTCTCTCTGTCTCTCTCTCTCTCTGTCTCTCCCTCCCTCTAGGTGGGGAACACAGTACTGATGTATCCTGATTACAGGGCCCTCTCTGTCTCTCTCTCCGTCTCTAGGTGGGGAACACAGTACTGATAGTGTTTGTGAGTTACCTGGGCAGCAGGGTCCATCGGCCTCGTCTCATTGGACTGGGTGGCCTGCTGATGTCCATCAGTGCTCTGATCCTGGCCCTACCTCACTTCCTGTCCCAGCCCTATGAGTACGACTCTGCCATACATGGTAAGATCTAGAGGTTCAATATAGATTTTTTTTATAGCTACAATACTTTGCAATACCAAGGATACACCTCTGAATAAATCTGCATAGATTATCTTCATGGGCAGGTTTCCGTCACACAGAATCTCAATAAAAAATGCTTCTTAGTCCAGGACTAGACTTTCGCTGTGTCCGGGAAACTGGCCGCATGAGTTTTAAAACCTAGTGTATGGCAAGCATCATCCACAATCAATCTCTATAAAGCAGCAAGCATCATCCACAATCAATCTCTATAAAGCAGCAAGCATCATCCACAATCAATCTCTATAAAGCAGCAAGCATCATCCACAATCAGTTTCTATAAAGCAGCAAGCATCATCCACAATCAGTCTCTATAAAGCAGCAAGCATCATCCACAATCAGTTTCTATAAAGCAGCAAGCATCATCCACAATCAATCTCTATAAAGCAACAAGCATCATCCACAATCAGTCTCTATAAAGCAGCAAGCATCATCCACAATCAGTCTCTATAAAGCAGTAAGCATCATCCACAATCAGTCTCTATAAAGCAGAAATCCCAGTATGTTGGACCTGGTTCAGCCTGTCATGTAGTGGAGTGGTGGACTGGTGGAGTTGTGTAGTGTTGTGGTGTTTTGGAATGGAGTGGTATAGTGGAATGGTGTAGTGGAGTGGTGTAGCGGAGTAGTGGATTGGAGTGTTGTAGTGGAGTGATGTGTTGGATTGGAGTGGTGTGGAGTGTTGGATTGGAGTGGTGTGGAGTGTTTGAGTGGAGGGGTGTAGTGGATTGGTTTAGTGGTGTAGTGGATTGGATTGGTTTAGTGGTGTAGTGTAGTGGATTGGTTTAGTGGTGTGGTGGATTGGATTGGTTTAGTGGTGTAGTGGATTGGTTTAGTGGTGTAGTGGAGTGGATTGGTTTAGTGGTGGATTGGATTGGTTTAGTGGTGTGGTGTGGTGGGGTAGTGGAGTGGTGTAGGGGTGTGGTTAGATTTGGATGGTTGGATTTAGAAATAATGAATTGTGAGAGCCAGCCTGGCCTGCAGGTGCTCTCTAGCTGATCCCATTCTACATAAATCCAAGAAGATTAAGGCTGTCTCTCAGGCAGTTGGTTTAATTCAGTACTTTCACTCTCTTTTTTCCTCCTCTGTCTGCCCTGTAAACACACACACACACACACACACACACACACACACACACACACACACACACACACACACACACACACACACACACCCAGTACACTGGCTGGATGCTGCTTCTCATGGGGTACCACTGAAGGGTTAAGGGTCACATTAAACTCCAGGAACAGCTGTGTATAGTTCACAGGCCTGTAATTAACTCTATCTGTCTGTCTGTGTGTCTGTTTATCTGTCTGTTTATCTGTCTGTCTGTCTGTCTGTCTGTCTGTCTGTCTGTCTGTCTGTCTGTCGGTCTCTGTACTTGTGTCTGTGTGCTTGCGTGTGTGTGTGTGTGTGTGTGTGTGTGTGTGTGTGTGTGTGTGTGTGTGTGTGTGTGTGTGTGTCTGTGTGTGTGTGTGTGTGTGTGTGTGTGTGTGTGTGTGTGTGTGTGTCTGTGTGTGTGTGTGTGTGTCTGTGTGCTTGCGTGTGTGTGTGTGTGTCTGTGTGTGTGTGTGTGTGTGTGTGTGTGTGTGTGTGTCTGTGAATGCGTTTTTTCCCCCAGATCGCCAAGACCTGTGTTCACTGCAGGGTACCTCCAACATGACAGAGGCCTGTGGGAAAGCAGAGACCAAACGTATAGCAGACACCAATAACCTGTGGCTGCTCATGGCTATAGCTCAGCTGCTGTTCGGGGTGGGGTCTGTTCCCATACAACCCTTTGGTATCTCTTATGTGGATGACTTCGCCGGACAAGGCAACTCCCCCCTCTACATAGGTAAATCCAACAAAAAATCCAACAACACATCACTTTTCAAGCATTTTTTATTTTTATTTTATTTCACCTTTATTTAACCAGGTAAGCCAGTTGAGAACAAGTTCTCATTTACAACTGCGACCTGGCCAAGATAAAGCAAAGCAGTGTGATAAAAACAACAACACAGAGTTACATATGGGGTAAAACAAAACGTACAGTCAATTACACAATAGAAAATCTATATACAGTGTGTGCAAATGTAGTAAGTTATGGAGGTAAGGCAATAAATAGGCCATAGTGCAAAATAGTTTAGAACAATTTAGTATTAACACTGGAGTGATAGATGTGCAGAAGATGATGTGCAAATAGAGATACTGGGGTGCAAATGAGCAAAATAAATAACAATATGGGGATGAGGTAGTTGGGTGGGCTAATTGCAGATGGGCTGTGTACAGGTGCAGTGATCGGTAAGCTGCTCTGACAACTGATGCTTAAAGTTAGTGAGGGAGATAAGAGTCTCCAGCTTCAGAGATTTTTGCAGTTCGTTCCAGTCATTGGCAGCAGAGAACTGGAAGGAATGGCGGCCAAAGGAGGTGTTGGCTTTGGGGATGACCAGTGAGATATACCTGCTGGAGCGCATACTACGGGTGGGTGTTGCTATGGTGATCAATGAGCTAAGATAAGGCGGGTATTTGCCTAGCAGTGATTTATAGATGACCTGGAGCCAGTGGGTTTGGCGACAAATATGTAGTGAGGGCCAGCCTACGAGAGCGTACAGGTCACAATGGTGGGTATTATATGGGGCTTTGGTGACAGAACAGATGGCACTGTGATAGACTACATCCAATTTGCTGAGTAGAGTGTTGGAGGCTATTTTGTAAATTACATCGCTGAAGTCAAGGATTGGTAGGATATTCAGTTTTTCGAGGGCATGTTTGGCAGCATGATTGAAGGAGGCTTTGTTGCGAAATAAGAAGCCGATTCTAGATTTAACTTTGGATTGGAGATGCTTAATGTGAGTCTGGAAGGAGAGTTTACGGTATTTAGGTATTTGTAGTTGTCCACATATTCTAAGTCAGACCCGTCGAGAGTAGTGATTCTAGTTGGGCGGGCGGGTGCAATCAGCGTTCGATTGAAGAGCATGCATTTAGTTTTACTAGCGTTTAAGAGCAGTTGGAGGCTACGGAAGGAGTGTTGTATGGCATTGAAGCTCGTTTGGAGGTTTGTTAACACAGTGTCCAGTGAAGGGCCAGATGTATACAAAATGGTGTCATCTGCGTAGAGGTGGATCTGAGAGTCACCAGCAGCAAGAGCGACATCATTGATATACACAGAGAATAGAGTCGGCCCGAGAATTGAACCCTGTGGCACCCCCATAGAGACTGCCAGAGGTCCAGACAACAGCACCTCCGATTTGACACATTGAACTCTATCTGAGAAGTACTTGGTGAACCAGGCGAGGCAGTCATTTGAGAAACCAAGGCTATTTAGTCTGCCAATAAGAATGTGGTGATTGACAGAGTCGAAAGCCTTGGCCAGGTCAATGAAGACGGCTGCACAGTACTGTCTTTTATCGAACGCAGTTATAATATCGTTTAGGACCTTGAGCGTGGCTGAGGTGTACCCATGACCAGCTCAGAAACCAGATTGCATAGCGGAGAAGGTACGGTGGGATTCAAAATGGTCGGTGTCCATCTGTCGTAGACGGCCGCGACTGGGAGACCAATGGGGTGGCGCACAATTGGCCCAGCGTCGTCCAGGGTAGGGTAGGGGAGGGAATGGCCGGCAGGGATGTAGCTCAGTTGGTAGAGCATGGCGTTTGCAACGACAGGGTTGTGGGTTCGATTCCCACGGTGGGCCGGTATGAAAAATAAATAAAATGTATGCACTCACTAACTGTAAGTCGCTCTGGATAAGAGTGTGTGCTAAATGACTAAAATGTAAATGTACATAATAAAGTGCTCTTCTACCTTCTTAACAACACTATCAACAAGGCAGGTCCTACTGGCCCTAGTTTTGTCACATCTTGACTACTGTTCAGTCGTGTGGTCAGGCGCCACAAAAAAGGACTTAGGAAAATTGCAATTGGCTCAGAACAGGGCAGCACGGCTGGCCCTTGGATGTACACAGTGAGCTAATATGAATAATATGCATGTCAATCTTTCCTGGCTCAAAGTGGAGAAGAGATTGACTTCATCACTACTTGTATTTATGAGAGGTATTGACATGTTGAATGCACCGAGCTGTCTGTTTGAACTACTGGCGCACAGCTCGGACACCCATGATTACCCCACAAGACATGCCACCAGAGGTCTCTTCACTGTCCCCAAATCCAGAACAGATTATGGGAGACACACAGTACTACATAGAGCCATGACTACATGGAACTCTATTCCACATCAGGTAACTGATACAAGCAGTAGAATCAGATTTAAAAAACAGATTATAAAAAACCTTATGGAACAGCTGGGACTGTGAAGCAACACAAACATAGGCACAGACACATGCATACACACGCACAATAACATGGATTTTGTACTGTAGATATGTGGTAGTGGTGGAGTAGGGGCCTGAGGGCACACAGTGTGTTGTGAAATCTGTGAATGTATTGTAATGTTTTTAAAACTGCCTTAATTTTGCTGGACCCCAGGAAGAGTAGCTGCTGCTTTACCAACGGAACATTCAAAACTGTAATATCTTATGTAACCTCCCGAGTGGCGCAGTGGTCTAAGGCACTGCATCGCAGTGCTAGGTGTGCCACTAGAGATCCTGGTTCGAATCCAGGCTCTGCTGTAGCCGGCCGCAACCGGGAGACCAATGGGGCGGCGCACAATTGGCCCAGCGTCGTCCAGGGTAGGGGAGGGAATGGCCGGCAGGGAGGTAGTTCAGTTGGTAGAGCATGGCGTTTGCAACGCCAGGGTTGTGGGTTCGATTCCCACGGGGGGCCAGTATGAAAAAAAGAAAAAAAAGAAGAAGAATGTATGCACTAACTGTAAGTCGCTCTGGATAAGAGCGTCTGCTAAATGACGTAAAATGTAAAAGTAAATGTATCACCGAGTCGTGGCTGAACGACAACATGGATAACATACAGCTGGCGGGACATACGCTGCATCGGCAGGATAGAACGGCTGACTCGGGTAAGACAAGGGGTGGCGGTCTGTGTATATTTGTAAACAACAGCTGGTGCACAAAATCTAATATTAAGGAAGTCTCAAGGTTTTGCTCGCCTGAGGTAGAGTATCTCATGATCAGCTGTAGACCACACTATTTACCAAGAGAGTTTTTAGCTGTCTATTTACCATCGCAAACCGATGTTGGCACTAAGACTGCACTCAATCAGCTGTATAAGGCCATAAGCAAACAGGAAAAACGCTCATCCAGAGGCAGCGCACCTAGTGACCGGGGACTTTAATGCAGGGAAACTTAAATCCATTCTACCTCATTTCTAGACCACCTTTACTCCACACACAGAGACGCGTACAAAGCTATGACATTGAGGAGTACACCACATCAGTCACCGGCTTCATCAATAAGTGCATCGATGATGTCGTCCCCACAGTGACCGTACGTACATACCCCAACCAGAAGCCATGGATTACAGGCAACATCCGCACTGAGCTAAAGGGTAGAGCTGATGCTTTCAAGGAGCGGGACTCTAACCCGGACGCTTATAAGAAATCCCACTATGCCCTCCGACGAACCATCAAACAGGCAAAGCGTCAATACAGGACTAAGATTTAATCGTACTACACCGGCTCCAACGCTCGTCGGATGTGGCAGGGCTTGAAAACTATTACAGACTACAAAGGGAAACACAGCCGCGAACTGCCCAGTGACACGAGCCTTCCAGACGAGCTAAATCACTTATATGCTCGCTTCGAGGCAAGCAACACTGAAGCATGCATGAGCGCATCAGCTGTTCCGGATGACTATGTGATCACGCTCTTCGTAGCCGATGTGAGTAAGACTTTTAAGCAGGTCAACATTCACAAGGCCGCAGGGACAGACGGATTACCAGGACGCGTACTCTGAGTATGCACTGACCAACTGGCAGGTTTCTTCACTGACATTTTCAACATGTCCCTGACTGAGTCTGTAATACCAACATCTTTCAAGCAGACCACCATAGTCCCTGTGCCCAAGAACACTAAGGTAACCTGTCTAAATGACTACCGACTCGTAGCACTCACGTCTGTAGCCATGAAATGCTTTGAAAGGCTGGACATGACTCATATCAACACCATTATCCCAGAAACCCTAGACCCACTCCAATTTGCATACCGCCCCAAAAAGATCCACAGATGATCAAATCTCTATTGCACTGCCAATTCCAACCTAGACAAGAGGAACACCTACGTGAGAATGCTATTCATTGACTACAGCTCAGCGTTCAACACCATAGCGCCCTCAAAGCTCATTACTAAGCTAAGTACCCTGGGTCTAAACACCTCCCTCTGCAACTGGATCCTGGACTTCCTAACGGGCCGCTCCCAGGTGGTAAGGGTAGGTAACAACACATCTGCCACGCTGATCCTCAACACGGGGGCCCCTCAGGGGTGCGTGCTCAGTCCCCTCCTGTACTCCCTGTTCACCCATGACTGCATGGCAGATGGCAGATGATGGTGATGACTCCATCACCATCATTAAGTTTGCCGATAACACAACAGTGGTAGGCCTGATCACCGACAACATTGAGACAGCCTATAGGGAGGATGTCAGAGACCTGGCCATGTGGTGCCAGGATGACAACCTGTCCCTCAACGTGATCAAGACAAAGGAGCTGATTGTGGACTACAGGAAAAAAAAGAGGACTGAGCACGCCCCCATTCTCATCGACGGGGCTGTAGTGGAACAGGTTGAGAGCTTCAAGTTCCTTGGTGTCCACATCACCAACAAACTATCATGGTCCAAACACACCAAGACAGTCGTGAAGAGGGCACGACAAAGCCTATTCCCCCTCAGGAGACTGAAAAGATTTGGCATGGGTCCTCAGATCCTCAAAAGGTTCTACAGCTGCACTATCGAAAGCATCCTGACCGGTTGCATCACTGCCTGGTATGGCAACTGCTCGGCCTCTGACCGCAAGGCGCTACAGAGGGTAGTGCGTACGGCCCAGTACATCACTGGGGCCAAGCTTCCTGCCATCCAGGACCTCTATACCAGGCGGTGTCAGAGGAAGGCCTTAAAAATTGTCAAAGACTCCAGCCACTCTAGTCAAAGACTGTTCTCTCTGCTACCGCACGGCAAGTGGTACTGGAGTGCCAAGTCTGGGTCCAAAAGGCTTCTTAACAGCTTTTATCCCAAAGCCATAAGACTCCTGAACAGCTAATCATGGCTACCTGGACTATTTGCATTTTAACTTGTAAGTAAGCGTTTCACTGTAAGGTCTACACCTGTTGTATTCGGCGCATGTGGCAAATACAATTTGATTTGATTTGATTTTACCCCAGCACCTTGACAGAGCTTGAATAATTTGTAAAAGAATAATGGGCAAATATTTCACAATCCAGGAGTGTCAAGCTCTTAGAGACTTACCCAATTAGACTCACAGCTGTAATCACTGCAAAAGGTGTTTGTAACACGTATTGACTCAGGGGGGGTGACACTCAGGGGGGGTTACATTTTTAATTAGTTTTTAAGAAATGTTAGATACTTTTTTTTATTTTGACATTAGAGTATTTTGTGTAGATCGTTGACAAGAAATTACACTTAAATCCATTTTAATCCCGCTTAGTGACAATAAAATGTGAAGAATAGTTATGATACCCACTGTAGGTAAGAGGCTTGTAGCTTAATGAAACACGAGTCCCTTTAAATAGGTAAGAGGCTTGTAGCTTAATGAAACACGAGTCCCTTTAAATAGGTAAGAGGCTTGTAGCTTAATGAAACACGAGTCCCTTTAAATTGGTAAGAGGCTTGTAGCTTAATGAAACATGAGTCCCTTCAAATAGGTAAGAGGCTTGTAGCTTAATGAAACACGAGTCCCTTTAAATAGGTAAGAGGCTTGTAGCTTACTGAAACACGAGTCCCTTTAAATAGGTAAGAGGCTTGTAGCTTAATGAAACACGTGTCCCTTTAAATAGGTAAGAGGCTTGTAGCTTAATGAAACACGAGTCCCTTTAAATAGGTAAGAGGCTTGTAGCTTAATGAAACACAAGTCCCTTTAAATAGGTAACAGGCTTGTAGCTTACGGAAACACGAGTCCCTTTAAATAGGTAAGAGGCTTGTAGCTTACTGAAACACGAGTCCCTTTAAATAGGTAAGAGGCTTGTAGCTTACTGAAACACGTGTCCCTTTAAATTGGTAAGAGGCTTGTAGCTTAATGAAACACGAGTCCCTTTAAATAGGTAAGAGGCTTGTAGCTTAATGAAACACGAGTCCCTTTAAATAGGTAAGAGGCTTGTAGCTTAATGTAACACGAGTCCCTTTAAATAGGTAAGATGCTTGTAGCTTAATGAAACACGAGTCCCTTTAAATAGGTAAGAGGCTTGTAGCTTCCGGAAACACGAGTCCCTTTAAATAGGTAAGAGGCTTGTAGCTTAATGAAACACGAGTCCCTTTAAATAGGTAAGAGGCTTGTAGCTTAATGAAACACGAGTCCCTTTAAATAGGTAAGAGGCTTGTAGCTTAATGAAACACGAGTCCCTTTAAATAGGTAAGAGGCTTGTAGCTTAATGAAACACGAGTCCCTTTAAATAGGTAAGAGGCTTGTAGCTTAATGAAACACGAGTCCCTTTAAATAGGTAAGAGGCTTGTAGCTTAATGAAACACGAGTCCCTTTAAATAGGTAAGAGGCTTGTAGCTTACTGAAACACGAGTCCCTTTAAATAGGTAAGAGGCTTGTAGCTTAATGAAACACGTGTCCCTTTAAATAGGTAAGAGGCTTGTAGCTTAATGAAACACGAGTCCCTTTAAATAGGTAAGAGGCTTGTAGCTTAATGAAACACAAGTCCCTTTAAATAGGTAACAGGCTTGTAGCTTACGGAAACACGAGTCCCTTTAAATAGGTAAGAGGCTTGTAGCTTACTGAAACACGAGTCCCTTTAAATAGGTAAGAGGCTTGTAGCTTACTGAAACACGTGTCCCTTTAAATTGGTAAGAGGCTTGTAGCTTAATGAAACACGAGTCCCTTTAAATAGGTAAGAGGCTTGTAGCTTAATGAAACACGAGTCCCTTTAAATAGGTAAGAGGCTTGTAGCTTAATGTAACACGAGTCCCTTTAAATAGGTAAGATGCTTGTAGCTTAATGAAACACGAGTCCCTTTAAATAGGTAAGAGGCTTGTAGCTTCCGGAAACACGAGTCCCTTTAAATAGGTAAGAGGCTTGTAGCTTAATGAAACACGAGTCCCTTTAAATAGGTAAGAGGCTTGTAGCTTAATGAAACACGAGTCCCTTTAAATAGGTAAGAGGCTTGTAGCTTAATGAAACACGAGTCCCTTTAAATAGGTAAGAGGCTTGTAGCTTAATGAAACACGAGTCCCTTTAAATAGGTAAGAGGCTTGTAGCTTAATGAAACACGAGTCCCTTTAAATAGGTAAGAGGCTTGTAGCTTAATGAAACACGAGTCCCTTTAAATAGGTAAGAGGCTTGTAGCTTAATGAAACACGAGTCCCTTTAAATAGGTAAGAGGCTTGTAGCTTAATGAAACATGAGTCCCTTTAAATAGGTAAGAGGCTTGTAGCTTAATGAAACACGAGTCCCTTTAAATAGGTAAGAGGCTTGTAGCTTAATGAAACACAAGTCCCTTTAAATAGGTAACAGGCTTGTAGCTTACGGAAACACGAGTCCCTTTAAATAGGTAAGAGGCTTGTAGCTTAATGAAACACGAGTCCCTTTAAATAGGTAAGAGGCTTGTAGCTTAATGAAACACGAGTCCCTTTAAATAGGTAAGAGGCTTGTAGCTTAATGAAACACGAGTCTCTTTAAATAGGTAAGAGGCTTGTAGCTTAATGAAACACGAGTCCCTTTAAATAGGTAAGAGGCTTGTAGCTTAATGAAACACGAGTCCCTTTAAATAGGTAAGAGGCTTGTAGCTTACGGAAACACGAGTCCCTTTAAATAGGTAAGAGGCTTGTAGCTTACGGAAAGACGAGTCCCTTTAAATAGGTAAGAGGCTTGAGACATGACATTATACTATCTGTACTGAGTTGTCTACGGCGATCTCCCGGGGCAAACTAAAACACCTTAGCTTAACACAGGCAGGTTGTAATCGCTTGACTTATAGATATAAAAAGTCAAGTTTGCCTGAGTTATTTAGCAAAAAGAAGAGGAGGGAGTGTATTCATTTAGTTAATAACAGACGCTTGAACATGATCCAGCAGGTCGTATTACTGCAGCTCAAACAGCAGTAGGACACATGGACCTGGTGTTAAGACCCTGACTGTCTCTTTTCTCCCCAGCCATCCTGTTTGCTGTGTCTGTGTTTGGACCTGCCTTTGGCTTCCTGCTGGGCTCCGTCATGCTGAGGATCTATGTGGACGTGGACAGAACTGGTTCAGGTTGATACTGGGTTTGGGTTGTTAGAGTGGTGGCAGAGGTTTTGGTAGCTGGTTAGAGTGTAGGCTAAACTGTAATCTCTCTCTCTCTCTCTCTGTCTCTCTCTCTCTCTCTCTCTCTCTCTCTCTCTCTGTATCTCTCTCTCTCTCTCTCTCTATCTCTCTCTCTCTCTCTCTCTATTGGCATGGGAAACATATATTTACATTGCCAAAGCAAATGAAACAGACAATAACAAAAGGGAAATTAACAATCAGAAATGAACAGTAAACATTACACACTCACAGGTTTAATATAGACATTTCAAATGTTATACAGCACCTTCAGAGAGTATTCATACCCCTTGACGTATTCCACAATACCCCATAATGACAAAGTGAAAACATGTTTTTCAGAAATCTTTGCAAATTTATTGAAAGTTAAATACTGAAATATCTCATTTACATAAGTATTCACACCCCTGAGTCAATACATGTTATAATAATATAATAATAATATGCCATTTAGCAGACGCTTTTATCCAAAGCGACTTACAGTCATGTGTGCATACATTTTTACGTATGGGTGGTCCCGGGTGATCGAAACCCCCTACCCCTGGCGTTACAAGCGCCGTGCTCTACCAGCTGAGCTACAGAGGACCTGATTAGAATCACCTTTAGCAGTGATTACAGCTGTGAGTCTTTCTGGGTAAGTCTCTTAGATCTTTGGATTGTAGAATATTTGCCCATTATTCTTTAAAAATTCTTCAAGCTCTGTCAAGTTGCTTGTTGATCATTACAGCCATTTTAAAGGCGTGCCATATATTTTCAAGACGATTTGAGACAAAACTGTAACTAGGCCACTCGGGAACCTTCATTGTTCTCCCGGGGGCTCCCGAGTGGCGCAGCGGCATCTCAGGGCTTGAGGCGTCACTACAGACCCCACTGGTTCGATTCCAGGCTGTTTCACAACCGGCCGTGATTGGGAGTCCCATAGGGCGGCGCACAATTGGCCCAGCATCGTTAGGGTTTGGCTGGGGTAGGCTGTCATTGTAAATAAGAATTTGTTCTTAACTGACTTGCCTAGTTAAATAAAAAATATAAAAAATATGTCTTGGTAAGCAACTCCAGTGTATATTTGGCCTTGTGTTTTAGGTAATTGTCCTGCTGAAAGGTGAATTTGTCTCCCAGTGTCTGTTGGAAAGCAGACTGAACTAAGTTTTCCTCTAAGATTTTGCCTGTGCTTAGCTCTATTCCGTTTCTTTTTATACTAAAAATACTCCCTAGTGCTTGCTGATGACAAGCATACCCATAACATGATGACGTCACCACCTGCTTGAAAATATGAAGAGTGGTACTCAGTGATGTGTTGGATTTGCCCCAAACATAAAGCTTTTTATTCAGGACAAAAAGTGAATTTCTTTGCCTCATTTTATGCAGTATTACTTTAGTGCCTTGTTGCAAACACGATGCATGTTTTGGAATATTTTTAATCTGTACAAGCTTCCTTATTTTCACTCTGTAATTTATGTAAGTATTGTGGAGTAACTACAATGTTATTGATCCATCCTCAGTTATCTCCCATAACAGCCATTAAACTCTAACTGTTTTGGTGAAATCCCTGAGCGGTTACCTTCCTCTCCGGCAACTGAGTTAGGAAGGGCACCTGTATCTTTGTACATAGTCAAAGCTTTCCTTAATTTTGGGTCAGTCACAGTGGTCAGGTATTCTGCCACTGTGTACTCTCTGTTCAGGACTAAATAACATTCAAGTTTGCTCAGTTTTTTTGTTGATTCTTTCCAATGTGTCAAGTAATTATCTTTTTGTTTTCTCATGAAAACTAATTGTGTTGCTTTCCTGGGGCTGAGGGGACTCTTCTCCAGGTTCATTTGTAGGTGAGGTCTTTGTTATGAAAGGTTTGAGAATCGCTTCCTTTTAGGTGGTTGTAGAATTGAATTGCTCTTTTCTGGATAATTAGCGGGAATCGTCCTAATTCTGCTCTGCATGAGTTTTAAGTTGTATACAGATGATTTTTTTTTTTCTTCAGAATTCTGCATGCAGAGTCTCAATTTGGTGGTTGTCCCATTTTGTGAATTCTAGGTTGTTGACTGATTGAAGTATTTTTAGCCAGATCCTAATTGGGATGTTTTCTGTTCCTTTTAAATGGCATAGAAGGCCCTTCTTACCTCGTCTCTCAGATCGTTCACAGCCCTGTGGAAGTTACCTGTGGTGATGATGTTTATGCCAAGTTAGGTATAGTTTTTTGTGTGCTCTAAGGCAACAGTGTCTAGGTGGAATTTGTATTTGTGGAATACTTATTTCTGTCTTAACTGTCAGGGCCCAGGTCTGACAGAATCTGTGCAGAAGATCTAGGTGCTGCTGTAGGCCCTCCTTGGTTTGGGACGGAAGCAACAGATCATCAGCAAACAGAAGACATTTGACTTTAGTCTAGTAGGCTGAGGCCGGGTGCTGCAGACTGTTCTAGAGTTAAATTACTTCCATTGTCATTGTCTACATAGCAATGGTGGAACCAACAGCAACAAGGCAGCAATACTAATTGTAGTAGTGGAAATGGGATGACCATTAACAACAACAACACTATTAATGAGAATAATACATTAAAGCAATAGTAGTGGGCCGGTCTCAACACGACTGAGAAGCCACATGGCATGTCACGTTCCCCAGCAAGAAAACCAAAAATGTCACGCAAACAGGACGGGGAAACTAACAAAGAGTCACTGACAACAACCAAAGCAGGTTTTAGAAGGGGTTTTAAAAGACACTCATGGGGGGTGTCCACTAAAAGTTGACTAGCAACAACTTGGACCTAAAAGACGCCCACCATGAGACCCACTAAATCTGTCCAATAAGAGGTAAACAATGGAAAAACCCACACCAACCTTAAAGACAGGAAGCAAAACAAAAACACGGAAGCTCAGATAAAGGAATGTTTTTCTAGAACTCACATAGGGAGAGACAACTAAAGGAGTTAACCCTCCACATCTATCAAGACAACTGGAGCACTGGGACAGCCACTCTTAAATATCACCTGGACCAGCGCAGGTGAAACACCTTCGCACTAACGAGATGACAAACCAGCACAGGTGTAACACTTACTGACTAACGAGGTGACACCAGAGTGAGTCCAGCCTGTCCTCTCTGGGCAGCCAGGTTTGTCCATGATGACCGGTCTCTATGGCCAGACTGTGCTCACTGAGTCTGTACCCAGTCAGTGTTTTCCATCAGTCACAGTGGTCAGATAATCTGCCATCGTGTGCTGTATCAGTCAGTCACAGTGGTCAGATAATCTGCCATCGTGTGCTGTATCAGTCAGTCACAGTGGTCAGATAATCTGCCATCGTGTGCTGTATCAGTCACAGTGGTCAGATAATCTGCCATCGTGTACTGTATCAGTCAGTCACAGTGGTCAGATAATCTGCCATCGTGTGCTGTATCAGTCACAGTGGTCAGATAATCTGCCACCATGTGCTGTATCAGTCACAGTGGTCAGATAATCTGCCATCGTGTGCTGTATCAGTCACAGTGGTCAGATAATATGCCATCGTGTGCTGTATCAGTCACAGTGGTCAGATAATCTGCCATCGTGTGCTGTATCAGTCACAGTGGTCAGATAATCTGCCATCGTGTGCTGTATCAGTCAGTCACAGTGGTCAATAATCTGCCATCGTGTGCTGTATCAGTCAGTCACAGTGGTCAGATAATCTGCCATCGTGTGCTGTATCAGTCACAGTGGTCAGATAATCTGCCATCGTGTGCTGTATCAGTCAGTCACAGTGGTCAGATAATCTGCCATCGTGTGCTGTATCAGTCAGTCACAGTGGTCAGATAATCTGCCATCGTGTGCTGTATCAGTCACAGTGGTCAGATAATCTGCCATCGTGTGCTGTATCAGTCACAGTGGTCAGATAATCTGCCATCGTGTGCTGTATCAGTCACAGTGGTCAGATAATCTGCCATCGTGTGATGTATCAGTCAGTCACAGTGGTCAGATAATCTGCCATCGTGTGCTGTATCAGTCAGTCACAGTGGTCAGATAATCTGCCATCGTGTGCTGTATCAGTCACAGTGGTCAGATAATCTGCCATCGTGTGCTGTATCAGTCAGTCACAGTGGTCAGATAATCTGCCATCGTGTGCTGTATCAGTCACAGTGGTCAGATAATCTGCCATCGTGTGCTGTATCAGTCAGTCACAGTGGTCAGATAATCTGCCATCGTGTGCTGTATCAGTCACAGTGGTCAGATAGTATGCCACAATGTACTGTCTGTTTAGAGCCAAATAGCACTGAAGTTTACTTTGATTTCTTGTGGAGTCTTTCCAATAGGTGATATATTTTTCTTTTTGCTTTGTGATGATTTGGTTGGGCCAGATTTTCTGAGTGCTGTCTTGAGGCTCTATGAGGTTGGTTTGGGTTTGTGAACTGAGCCTCAGAACCAGCTGGCTGAGGGGACTCTTCTCTTGTTTCATATCTTGACATTGTAGAGCTGTGTGATTAAATGTTTCAGGGTTGCTTGTTTTTAGATGGTTGTAAAATTTGATGGCTCTTTTTTCTATTAGAATAAGGAGGGGGTATTGGCCCAATTCTGCTCTACATGCGTTATTTTGTCTTTGCACTTGCAACACAGTCTTGCAAAACTCTGCATGCAGTGTTTCGATTGGATGTTTGTCCCATTCATTATTGATTATTGGAGAGTGGACACCATACATAGCTGCCATATAGAGGAATTGATTCTATAACTGATTGGATTTTTTTTGCCAGATCCTAATTTGATTTTATATTTGAATGTTCCTTTTAGAATGCACTTCTTGCTTTGTCTCTCAGCTCGTTCACAGCCATGTGAAAGCTGCACCTGTGTTGCTGATATTTAGTCCTAGGTAAGTACGGTCCCAAAAAGAATTGTTTTGAACCAGAT